TTTTATGAAACTATTACAATTGTAAATAAATTTGTACAATAAGTCGCATCTGTCATTTCTTAAGACTTAACGCCCACATTCGTGAAGCATTGTCCGTCCCGAAATCCGTAATGGTATTAGCGCATTCCGGTGGGACTATTCAAAGTTCAATATTGCCTTCCAATACAACCCACTCTTTGAGGTCTTATGGAAGTATAGTAGAAAAAGTACTTCGTTAACGAAGCTGTTTCCTGTAAAATGATAAGATGGTTTTAATTCAATCAACTTGTTTTAAATCAAAACTTTTTAACTATTGAAAATTGAGCTACTTGGCTAAAGAAAAAAAAAGCATTCAGCTATCAACTTGAAATTGACAACATGATCAACGGGACAACGTGATCAGTATAAATTTTTTTTTATCAATAATTTCACGTGATACGATAGAAATTCCTCAATGATAAACCTCGACATTTAAGTTATAATATATTTAATGTGTGAAATAATCATTAACTCGTGTGAAATAATCAAGTAGTGAAGTGTGTAATAATCATATTTAATTATTTTTCATTACTTAATCAACGAAATCAAGCAATTAATACATTTTTGGTCCCAGCCAAGCACTTTAACAACCTATAAACACACTTATTGGCAAATAATCCTAACGATTTGTAGGTATTTTTATGTTTCAGTTTCCTATAACGAATATTATATTAACAGAATGATAAAATCAGCAAATTGTCATGTCAATGTTCAATTTCTCGGTAGATCGTGGATAAAACAACCGTTCAAATTGACATGTAAACGTCAATCACAGCTCTAAAATAAAAACAACCATTAAAGTCCTCCAAGAATGAAGCCTTAAAAACAAATTGCCTGCGACCCAACGTAACACAGTATCTTAAAAAAATTCGTAATTTATATCTTAATACACTATTTACTACATAAATAACCTGTCGTAAAATAAAACAGTTTTACGGATTTTATAACATGCCATGTTCGCCTCAGATGTTTGGAGAGGCTGACTGGGATTAACCCATTCGCAGACACGACTATCGGGATAATTTCGGTCGGCACACCACCCCACATGTCGGTCACCTCGTGAGCCAGGTCCAGATACTTCGTCTTCTTATCTGTTTCGGCTTTCACGAGGTTCTCGTCATATGGAATGGTAATGTCGACCAAAAATACCCGCGACTGTGCCCGGTCCATCAACACGATATCAGGTTTGTTCGCGACAATTGTCCTGTCTGTGATGATGGACCGGTCCCAATAGAGCCTGGCGCGGTCATTTTCGAGCACGGCCTCCGGAGAGTACTTATAATACGGCAGTTTCCGTTCCACGAGGCCGTATTTCAGAGCGAGCTCCTGGTGTAGGATTCTGGCTACTAGGTTGTGTCTATGCAGATACTCAGAGTTAGAAAGCATGGAACAACCGGAGATAACATGCCGAAGCGACTCCCCGGGATGGCGACAAGCTCGACAGATGTCGACAGTGCCATCCTTTAGGATGTATCTCCTATAGTTGTTCGTCTTAATAACCTGATCCTGTATCGCACAGACAAAACCTTCGGTTTCCCCAAAGAGGTCAACGAAACGTAGCCAGTTGAGGGAGGCAGTAGTATCTACGAAAGGCTCGTGTAGGGCCTTGTAGAACCTCCCGTGGAGCTCTTTCTCCTTCCATACGGTCCTGCCATTGCTCGTTGGCTAAGGATAGAGGGGTAAGTCCTTTATCAAAACTAATGACGTCTGTGTTGATTGAATCATCCGATCTCGCCAGGAAGTAGTTACGGAGGCTGCACACCTCGCGATTGTGCATGGTAAGGGCGCTCAAAAAGCCCCTCCCGCCATGCTTCCGCGGCAGGTACAGCCGCATCACTGACGATCTCGGATGATGCATCCTGTGGGACGTCATAGTTGTGCGGACTTTTCGGTCCAGGGCATTGAGCTCAGTTTGAGTCCACCTGAGTATGCCAAAGGTATACATGAGGACTGGCATGACCCAGTCGTTAAATGCGCGTGCCTTGTTCACGCCTGACAAATGGCTGTTAAACACCTTTGTCAGGCGTGCAAAAAAACACATCACGAACTGACTGTTTCATGCCAGCCTCATCGATACACATGTTTTGTGACATACCCAGGTATCGGTATGTTTCAGCCTCAGAGAGGGTCCTTATGTTAACGGGCATAGATAAGTCTATGCCCGCCGTATTAGTGACCTTACCCCTTTCGACATGAAGGACCGCACACTTATCCGTCCCGAGCTCCATTTTGATAGAATTGCTGAAATCACAAGTGACTTTAAGCAATTCCATCAAATGGGAGCGATTGGAGGCGAATAACTTGAGGTCATCCATGTAGAAAAGGTGGGTCACTTTTGTCTCTCCTCTCCGAAGCTGAAATCCTCCCCCCGAGCCCTCCAGTAATACGCTGAGAGGATTCAGGGAGAGGCAAAACCATATTGGACTCAAACAGTCGCCCTGGAAAATACCCCGTCGTATCCTTATCCGGTATTCCGCAGCCGTCATCCGCTCGCCTAGATGACAAAGGATCGTACTCCATTGCCCCATACAGTGCTCGAGGAAGTCTCTTACTGTACAGTCTACTTTGTACAGTTCGAGGACCCTCTTTAGCCATGTATGGGGCACCGAGTCGAATGCCTTTTTGTAGTCTATCCAGGCGGCGGAGAGGTTCCGACGGTTGCGTTTAACCATTTTACCAATGACCGCGTCGATGAGAAGCGGTTCCTTGGTTTTCCACGACCGCCGCCCCGACATCCATTCTGAGTACGAGACATAATCCGATTCACATTAATATGCCGGGTGATTCTCATACTCAGAATAGATGTCAGTGTCTTATGGTAGGTAGACACGTAATGGGGCGGTACTTACTCGGGTCTGTGGTAACTTGATCTTTAGGAACCAAATGAGTGACCCCAGTAGTAAAGAGGCTCGGGAGCGACCTCTGATCGAGAGCCTCTTGGAACTGCCGGGCGAGCACAGCGTGACACACCACGAACCCCTTCAGCCAGTAGTGATGCAGCCCGTCGAGTCCCGGACTTTTCCAGTTCGGGGCTCTACGGACTGCCTCGGATACGTCGTCGGGTGTTATGACGACGGGGTCCATGGGTGTAATGTCTGCACATTGGCTCGCCACGACTTGTGTCCAAGGGCCCTCACTGTGGTCTACGGGCTCTGACCACAGGCTGCGCCAGAAGGCGACAGTCGCTGCCTGGTCCGGTCCTTGGCCCGTTCCACAACTCATTGGTCGCTCCAAAGATTTGTAGAGCCTCTTTTGGTCACTCTGGAAGAGGCGATTCTGGCTAAACCGCGCCGTCCTCTCGGAATATCTCCGAATCCGCTTCCCCAAAGCAGCGATCCTCTGCTTCAGGTCATCTATGCGCTCCGTTAGTTTTTGCGTAATGTCCGGCTGGGACAAGTTTATGTTGGTCCCCAGCGAACGCCATCCTAACGGTGCGCACAATTCTGGGCCTATTATTGCCCGACCTGAAGCTTATCAGCCTGCCGATGATGGCCCTTACCTTTGCGATACGGTCCTCAATTCTTCTTCTCCATGCTGGGATAGTGCTACCTGGTCTGGTAGCACGTCCAGCCTTGGGAAGTTTGGCGCCAACGATTCGGCATACTGCCAGTGCAGCGCCAAAGAGAATTGAGTCCGTATCGCAAAGGTCCCGGCTAGCTTCCAAATAGGTTGCCAGCATCGGGTTAAGAGACCTCACGACAGACCGACTCCGCTTACTTAGGGGTATGCGGGGGAGACGTGGTCGACTCTCGAGAGGCGTTTCGCGCACCTCCAGAATTGCCTCCTCCAATATGCTTCCCATCTGCTCTATTTCTTGGGCGACTATTCCATCATCGCACGAATCTACAGGAGCCGGGGAGTTAACCGCGGCCTCCGCATCTGCTTGTAACCCTGCAGGGTCCGCAGCTTGCGGGGCCGTATCCCCAGCCACTACATTTTCATCCGATGAGGGAACAGCCTCACGTCGTAGTCGTTCGAGCTCGGTATCATCAAATATTTTTGAGCGCATGATGTACCGAACTCGGTCTGCCAGGTTTTGCTCGGTGACGGTTATAGATGGCTCCAGCTCAGCAAAAAAGCGATGCATCCTTGCCCGATACGCAAACCCTCCAGTTTCACTCCCTTTCGCCCTAAGATACGCCCGCATTGCGTTCCTGTTCATTTTTTCAGTCCAGCGCAAGCGGCGTATTCCACCAGCGGCGGGTGCCGATTGCTGGATCCGAGAGGACCCTGCCGACACCAAGCCAACTGGTGGGGATGATGGATGCGAGGTACTGCTGGGTGGTCGTGCAGTACCCCGCACTCGGCTGGCGTCCCGCATGCTGCCACGTCCAGCGCCAGCTCCAGACGTGCCCTGGCGGCCCCCAGGCAGCGGCCCTATTCGTATTCTCTGGGAGTCCATCATCCATTATAGTTTGGGGCGTCATTTAACGGAAGACGCCCCCAGACCGGCACCGTTTTCAGTAGTGTGGCCGAACGCACAGACGGGCCTATGCACCCTCATTTATGCCGAGGCACGGTGCAAACACCTACTGGCAAGGCGCTGACTGATTGCGCCGACGCAACAGTTCTGTCACTTGAACTGTTACGCCGGTGGGCGATGGGGTCGTCACATCCCTACGCCTTTATTTTTATTATTATTATTATTATTATTATTAACCAATGAGCACGTGACTAAACAACACATAAAATTGCAACTAACAATTTAATTGCGTTGCCGGGACTCGAACTCAGTTACAAATATTCAACATTTAAAAGAAAACTCATATCAAAAATTGTTCCATCCGTTGTAATAGAAAATCAAAATTGTGGCACCGGCGACCAATGTTGTGCCAACGAGTCATAAAAGTAAATAACATTTTGCATGTTTTTTTTTTCTTTACACGACAAAATCTTATCAGTATACATAGTTATCATCACGAAAAGGGATTAAGATTAATTATCTACACTGAAGAATTGTTGATTTCAGACGCTCAAAAAAAATGGCGACGGTAAGTGTGCAACATGGAAAATTAGAAGGAGGCAAAACCAAGAATGACAACGGATTTGAGTACTACGAGTTCTTAGGAGTGCCGTATGCAAAACCGCCCCTGGGAGAGTTGAGATTTAAGGTAATAATTATAATGAATTCATGAAATACTTCGATGTTTGTCCTTATTTAGAGTTAATGATATATATATATATATATATATATATATATATATATATATATATATATATATATATATATATATATATAGCATAGGAAATTGTTTCGCGTAGTGAGAATTATTATGATTCATTATCCGTCCTTTTATGATTTTATCATACAAATATTGCATTATTATGGACAAGACCGTAAACTTCGTAATTTTTTTTCTACTATTATTCGTGAATGAATTTACTCCTCGACTTTTAAAGCTTTATAGCACGTTTTGTCTGCGAAGTGTAATATTCATGAGCGATGTAGCAATCATTTTAAATAGATGTAATGATTTTTTTATAATGCTAATCTCCGGACTTAAGATGAAGCATAAAAGTTTGTAGAAAAAGTAGACGAAAGGTTTTTTGCTTGAAAGTTTGTGTGCTCTACAGGACATAACAATAGATGAGCCAATCATTTCTTAAAATGTAAATGTAATTACAGATAAAATACGTTGTAATTTTCGTCACGTTGGCAATCAGCCGTTTAGCTTAGTGGCTAAAGGCCTCTGGGCGCGATTCCGGAAGACGTGGGCTTGATTCCCGCGGCGTCCAAAAACTATTCGTCCACTTTATCCAGATATTTTATATATTTTTACAGATGTAATATTACTAAATGAAACTATGTTTACGGATTTATCGCGTTTATTTTTGGTTTCAACTCCCGAAGTTTCGAACCCTTTACAGTTTACGGCGTTCATTGTCACGGTACAGATGTAATTATACAGGATGATTTTTTTAGACGAAGTACATACTTTGACATAATGTTAATTGAGCATTCCATAATTCAAAAAAAATATTAATATTTTATTTTGACAAGAAATAACCAGATAAATATCAATTCAAACATTGTTTGTTTATCTCGTTAAGAGTAGTCACCCTACAGATAGCAACAAATCAAACAGCGAACAGAAACGGCACAGTAAGATCAGCGGCTAGGTTATTGTATTGAGACGGTAAGGCAGGAATTTTTAATAAGGTTTGAAAAAATTTAAAATTATCTTTGAAAAAAAAATGAGGTCACAAATACGCACCAGATTCTGTATAGAATGTAATTCTGCATATGCTCTGTTAATATGTCCGTCGTCTATAAAATCATCCTGTATAAGAAATAAGAGTATAGATTAAAAATGTTTATGTGACTATAATGTTACATAACCATGGCTTTAGTTGTTTTACGAAAAACTTTTCATCATATATGCACATCATTGATCAAAGTATTTTAAAACGCAACAATTATGTTATGAAAGCATTGGATCGTGTGTTTTTTTTTTGTGAGAAAGTGGTATAGCTAGCTGGCGGTTCACCTGATGTGATAATCGTCGCCCGTTGAGATTTGCAAACATAGGTTTGCAACACATAGGTTTGCAAATGCGTTGCCACCTTTTAATAAGGTGGGCCCCAGCTACCTCACTCACCAGACGAAACACAGATTTATAACACTTCCACTTCACGCCGATCTTCCCTGAGGTCGAGGTACTTACCCGGACGGACCAGCCCATTTGTACAACAGAGAAAACTGTTGCGTAGCGCCAGCACAGTTGGCATACCAAATTCATGTAATAGCATCCGTGCCACAGGTTCCTACCTGTTATAACTTTTGAAATTGGCAAATACAATTTTTCATAATGCACTTTCTCCGTAGAGTCCCCAACCACCAGAACCATGGGAGGGCGTGAGAGACGCGAAGGTGATAAACAAAGACAACATTTCATTGCAAGTGGATATAATGACAGGTCAATCCGCCGGCAGCGAAGACTGTCTCTACCTGAACGTTTACACACCGAAGCTTCCAGATGGAAAATCCGAACTGTTACCGGTCATGGTGTTTATCCACGGCGGCGGATTCGTTTTTGGTAATGGTATCTTAGAGGGCGAAACGGGACCAGACTTTCTTATTGAACACAACACAGTTGTGGTCACATTGAACTACAGGCTCTCCGTGTTCGGATTCCTGGCGCTGGATATTCCAGAAGCAACAGGCAACATGGGCTTGAAGGACCAGGCTAAAGCTCTCGAATGGGTCCAAGATAACATAAGCGCTTTTGGCGGCGACAAGAGCAACGTGACCATTTTCGGTATTAGCGCTGGGGCCGCGTCAGTTGAATACCACATTGTATCTGAGAAGTCCAAGGGACTCTTCCACAAAGCCATTCTGCAATCAGGCTCCTGCCTTAACCACTGGGCTGTAAACTACGAACCCAAGAAATTAGCATATCAGCTCGCTGCGGAAGCGGGTTATAACGGTTCACCGGATGACGTTGCTGTATATAATATTCTATTAAACGCGCCGAGCAAGGCCTTAGCTGCGTCCGCTATGAAGGTTGCTGAAGCCTTCACAAATGACAGACTTTTCTTCGGTTTCGTGCCAACTGTCGAAAAGGATTTCGGTAATGGCGATGCATTTCTCACCGAAAAACCATACCGCTTGTTGAAACAGGGACGTTTTAACCGCGTGCCAGTTATCAAAGGATTTTGCAATAAGGAAGGTTATTTGGTAAACATGATGAAGCCCAAAGCAGTACTAGACGTATTGGATAAGAGGAACTTCACCGCTCATTGGTCGTTTGCGATCGACGAAAGCGATCAAAGCGAATACAATGCGAAACTCAATCGTACTTATTCGGAAAATTTACAGCCTGACGATGATCACGATAAACTTGCCGTGGACTTTTTCGGCGACCTTGACTTTGTTTCGGGTGTCTGGATTAGCGGGAAGCTGATGGCCCGCCATGGTGTTCCGGTGCGAACTTACGAGTTCTCTTACGATGGAAAAATTAATTTCTTCAAACTGATTTGCGATATTATGCGAAGTGGAGCTGCCCACGGCGACGATCACACTTACGTTTTGTGCCACAAAATAGCAAGGAAGGCCTACGACCATGATTTGGTTGTAAGAAACACCATAAGCAAAATGTGGACCAATTTTGCTAAAGTTGGGTATGTTATTCATTTACTTTTAACGTCACCAGCTGCTGCCCGCGACTACATCTGCGTAGGATAGGCTGAAGGCGTAACATTCAGACAGAAAGAGAGATAAACATAAAAATATGTATATTGATAATAGCCTGATGTATAAGCTACATCATTGAAGTTTCATTAAAATCCATTCAGTAGTATTTGCGTGAAAGAGTAACAAACATCCATCCATACATACAAACTTTCGCCTTTATAATATTAGTAAGGAAGTAAGGATTAGAGTAAAACTAATAGTTATTTTTTAAACGATAAAATTGTTGATTTTTCAGTTCCCCAACACCCGAAGGCAGTTTGGAAACTTTGCAAGAGTGGCCCCAGTTTACGGAAGAAAGTTCTATATATCTTAACTTTGATAAAAATATTACATTAAAAAATAATTACGAACCCAATAAAATGGCAGTGTTTGAAGACATATACGAAAAATATGAAAAGTAAACTCTTAATTAAAAGGATCTATTTTATCATGTTTCTCTACATCCTATATAAATAAATTGTATGGTTCCCACACCGTTACGGACTAACTTCATAATGAAATATGTATCAATTTTTCTAGCAAAACATGCGCATAGATTGCTCTAAGCCCTTTTTGTTATAACAAGAATAATCACACCAAAAAATCTTTAAATGTAAGATCAGCTAAAGCATCATCTAAGCTTATAAATATATTATGTATAAATATGACACTGATGCAATATAATAATTTGATGATTAGGTTCTAAGATATATAGTCGGGTTATACGAGTACATAGGTATACGGGATACTTTTATAGTACTTATGTACGTAAGTTATAGTAACATCTCTTAAGTTGCACTGTTTGTATCTGGCTGGTTAAGGTACCATTAAATCTATAACATTTTAAAAAAATTCTTGCCATTGTTTAATTATTTTCCTGTCCACTAAATGAGGTGTGTGGGAATTTTTTCGTTAATCTAACCATGAAGTTTTATAAAAAAAAAAGGCAAAATGCAACACAAACCGCGAAAAACTATTTGGGACGTTTAAAGACCTTAATTATGCAGTACCAGAAAGAATAGCCCAAAAAATTTTGGTAAAGCGTTTTTGGTCCAGGAATTTTTATGTCAAAGATGCAGCTTGCTCTGGTCGCCTCATTACGGATAAAGTCGATACAGTTTCCCAAAAAGTGGAGTAAGATCGGTATATTATTAGTTAAGACTTAGATGAAACTGGGGATTGACCACGAAACAGTTTTAGCCTATTTGAAAAAGTCTGGGAATACAAAAACCTCAATATTTTGGTTCATCGCGAATTCACTGAAAGATACTTATGAATTAATGTTTATCCATTTGCGATTATCTGTTTAAACGTTATGAAAACTCGATCCATTTTAGAAGAGATGTGCGAAAAAGACCATGTTCAAAGAGGGCAGTCGAGCTCCAGAGACGGTAGGGAAACCCGGATTAAGAAAGAAAGAAAGAAAATACATTAAACAAGAGAATAATAAAATTACAAATAAATAGATTAACACGCAAGCGATTCTTTAAGTCTCCAATCCACTATGGATTTGGAAGGGCATCGTTCTTTATGATTTTTTACTACTGGGCAAAACCATATCGATTCGGATCCCTCTGGCCAACAGCTGATGGGACTCAGCAAGAAATTGAAAGAAATTGAAATAGGCGCGAATTGATGGACAGAAGTGGGGTGGTCTTTCATCGTGATAACGCTAGACTATACACATCTTTGACCACTCAGCAAAAATTGCGAGTGGTTACAGAATTACACCTGTTTCTCTTCAAAATTCTTTGGGCACTCATTCTTGAAGACTTCTCTTAATTTTAACCAATCATAATGTTAACATTAAGCGCGGACTGTTAAAACTACTTTTCGCAATTTTTGATCCGAAGTCTCAAAATTTGTACAGAAACAGTGAACGCAAATAAACATAGAACCATTTTGTCGCTCCGAAATGGCATAATGAAAAACAATACCGCGACGGCACGGGGCTTATATACCGTACCGCGAAGCGGTTTTAGGGATGTAGACTTAGTTGAATTAACAAATAACTTCATTTTTGTTTGAAGATAATTAATGTATAATTGATTTGTATATACCTATATCTGGGCAAAACATGTGGTATGGGTACAAAGTAACTGATAAACATAGATAAAATATTTTTATAAATACATGTTTTAGATATATAAACATCCAGATATTAAAAAAACACTATGTTCATCACATAATATTTTTCTAGTAGTAAGTAGGGACCTACACGCCTGACACATGAGTGTCTAATCGGGTTGTCATATATATTATAATTAAATGTAATTAAAAATAAAAAAAAACTTGTTCGTATTCTTGATATTGCTAACAAAAAACACATCACAAACAGCAAAATAAAATCCCATTTAGCTTCTTGATTGTTATGAACCAAATTCTAAACTGACACTTTCATGATTCATTTTTCACGTTTGTATATCATTATTTTTAACATTTATAAAGGAATAACTCCTACTATGGGTAAGCATTTTTAAATAACTCAAAATAATACAAAGATAATATGATTCGGATTAAAGAAAATAATTTGAAGTTTATATGAGCCAAGTTCTTCAGAATCACAACCATTACCTACAGCATAGCCATCTATCTTCAACTTATTTTAATAGTTTTCATCTCTATTATCTTTACATCTTACCAAGATTTAATGAAATATATAAGATATTTTTTGTACGGATAATAAAATGAAATTCAAATCATGTGTATTTGATATAATTAAATAAATTAAACTATTCTTATGAGGAACTTGACGTCAATAAACATTTTTCAGTTACAAATAACATTTAATCATGTTAGTAGTAAAAGTTAATAGTAAAAGTGCACAGTATAAATTTATAAATTTTCATACTTTTTATATAGTTCTTCATATAACTTTGTTCTAGCTGGGTATGGTTCGGTTTTCATAGTAAGCTTGTCATCTATGAACAGGTATGCCATTTTGGAGTCACCTGTAGGTTCCCATTTTGTAGTTATGACATCATCAATATCAGGTGTAGGATTGCTGAAAACAAGTTCATCAAACGCAAATCAATTGACATCTACAGTTTAATTTTCCCAGCTATTAATACTTTATAAAGGAAAAGTAGTTTAAATAAAATGTATAATAAGAAATACATATCAATATTTTCTCATCCTTTAAGTTTTTCATTAGAAAAAATAAGTCACCTGTATTTGGCAAAATTAGTCCACATTGTTATCATTCTCTCTCGTACCAATTTGTCTGTATCAGAAATGTCATCTTCCTTTAATATATCACATTTAATCAAATATCCCCCTTCATCACCATGGCAGGCACCCTCTCTCTCTATGTTGGTTTTCTTCTTCAAATAATTTAATTTTCCATCATAAGAAAATTCATAGAAATACACTAACTCATTTGTTTTTGCTATTAGAGATGTAGCTACATAAACGCCACCGAAAAAATCAACATCTGTGAAGAAATCTATACCAAAACAATCATCTTCATTGTGTGTTCTTTCACCTTTTAAATATACTTCTTCCAATTTTCTTTGAAGGTCATCCTTTTCTGCTTCACCATAGTTAAAGGGAAGGTGTGAGATAAATAATTTTTCTGCTACTAAATTCTCAAGTTTAGATGGGCAAATTGGTAACACTAATAAGCCTTCTCGGGTGCAAAATCCACTCATAAATGGTACTTTAAGGAAATCACCATTGGATAACATTTCATAAGTAGATTTACTAATAAATGGCTCCCAGTCTCCAGACTTTTCAACTGTAGGGACAAAACCAAAGTAAATGCCCCCCCGAGATTTGTCAGTTTGTATAACCATCATTGAGGCATGAATTAGTTCTTTAACAGGCATGTCTCTTAGATAATTTAGAAGTTGATCATCATTTTGAATGGATTTATTATTGAGACTAGGTATTTTTGAGGCTAAATCTTTAATTTTATTGTTTTGTGCCCAATGCAAAAGGGATGAACCTGACTGAGCTATTGCTTTATGAAATAAACCATTAGATAATGGAGACAAAAGAAGATATTCTACTGATGCCCCACCAGCACTTACACCAAAAATTGTAACATTATGAGGATCACCTCCAAATTTATTTATATTCTTCTGCACCCACTTAAGTGCAAGTAATTGGTCCCTTAAACCCATATTACCTGGAGCCTCTTTACGGTCTAATGATAAAAATCCCAAAATTCCCAGACGGTAGTTCAAGCTAACAATTACAACACCTTTCTCAATAAGATAATCTGGACCATGTGCAGAATCATCAGTACCATGTCCAAATAAAAAGCCTCCTCCATGAAAAAATACCATTACAGGGAGCTGTGAGCCCTCATTCTCTAGTTGTGGTGAATAAACATTTAAATAAAGACAATCTTCATCGCCAACTATTGTTCCCTTCACTTTATCATATTGTATGCAGATGTTGCACTCATTTGTAGCATCTCTTACATCCTCCCAAGGTTCAGGTGGCTCTGGAATCTGCAATCATATCAAATCATAAAAATATGTTTTAATATTTATTAGTTTTTTTATAATTTTCTTATCAAAATTCTGTTAATTTTCTGTTAATTAAGGAAATTATCAAAATTCCATTACTAAGCTCGGCTAATTTTAATTAATAAATAAGTTAGGCTAAAAAACTTAATTTTAATTTAATTATTTGACAACAAAGTAAATTAGCCTTGTACTTTTTTTCTTAATTTCCGCAAAAATTTAATGTAATTTAATCAAAATACAATATCTTTGTGTAGTGTACCTACATTCAGTATTTTTTGTTAATATTTCCTCATGATAATCTTCAGTGCTGAGCAGTTGATAATTCAGTATTTAAAATTAACAATTTCAACAGTTGTGGCACAGGAACCAGAATTCGGGTTGCTCGAGTATATTGAATTAAAAGCGAGAGCCTGGACACTGAACCATCACGGCGCGCTTATTTTATTTATGAGTTAATATAATTATGTATGTTCCACTTACTGAGAATCTTAGCTGACCAATTGGCGGTTTTGCATAAGGAATTCCTTTAAATTTATAGAAATTTACACCGTTATAGGTCTTACAAATTTTCCCCCTTAATCTTCCATCTAAAATCTGAACTTCTGGATTCATTACAACAGTTCGCAATTTATCTTATAATTATTTTGTTAAAACCAGTTTTTTGTCTGCTGTAAGATACATCAAACAAAACTCTTGTATCCGGATCAACCTTGCAAAACTTATTTATAGGCAATGTAAGTAAGTAAATATGAAAATTTAAATTAAAATTTAGCTTTGGAAAGTTAATTTATTTTATCCTTGTAACTTGTATTGCGTAGGTACTGTCAAAGCAAAGCTTTTATTCAGTAGCAATGTATTTTATGTCTTATCTCAACTGTTTAAGGTTCACATTTAATTAGTAACAATAGAGCTCAATTCTCGTTCATTTTTGACTTTTACTTTAACGTTCCAATTCGTGTGTATGGAAATAAAAGTAGCAATCATTTAATAAAATCGTCATGGTTATAAAAAGCCTTTAATATTGATTAACAATACAAGGATCGATGTTCTTTTATTGTTAATTTGTTAATCGAGTAGGCTAAATATCTATTATATATATATATTTTACGTGGTCTTTTATATTATAGCGCTCTTAGAAAATATGATAGAGAGTCATTTAATATCTCTAACGATCTCCACCGACGGACTCATAAATTGCATCAATGTTCAAGACGCCTTTGAAATAAACAAATTTTAGTTTGTATTCAAAGTTTTTTTACAAATTTAAATTGAAATCTATAGTTTGGTTCGTTAACTTCATAGCGTAGTATGTTGGAAAGGACTTTCTTTTATTAATGTGTATTCCATTCAATTTTTTTGAACAAAAACGATAAATGTAACAAAAATTAGTTTTACTCAGTTTATTAAAATTAGATTTCAAAATAAAAAAAATTGAAGCACACGTTTTTTTTTAAATAAAGTTGTACTGCCTGCTCTTTCTGATTAGGGTTATTAAACAGTCTCATCATAATCATCATTTCAGCCTGTTTGAGTCCAATGCTGAACATAGGCCTCCCCCATAGACTGCCACGAAGTACGATCCTGAGCCACCTCATCCATCGACTTCCCGCACATTTGCACAGGTCGTCACTCCATCTAGTGGACGAGGTGTTAAACAGTCTTGCGGAATATTTTTCCATTCTTGTGAAATGGCTGTTCTTAGTGCTGCCACTGTTGATGACACAGGATTTCTCGCATATACATCTCTTTTTAGAGTTCCGTACCCAAGAGGGGTAAAACGGGCCCCTATTACTAAGACTCCGCTATCCGTCTGTCTGTCTGTCACTTCATGAACCGTGATAGTTACACATATAGTTACACGTGAGCTTCTAAAACCTCTGTTATATAGCGTTGTGCCGTCAATTTACCTCTTCTACCGGTTTCACGAACCATTTCGATGAACACAATTCACCATAGCACACCGTACACGAACCGCCTCCAAAAGGAACTTTGATTTACCAGCAGGCTAAGTAGGCTAGAGCCTAGTGCGGCAGATTTTAGAGGGCAGCAAATTTGGCCCAGATTTTTTGTCTTGACAGAAGTGTTTTAACTATTTTCTTACTATTTTTTTTGTCTTATAATTAGAACATGAATAAACTTTTTTTAGCTAAAAATATACCTATAATTATAATTTTAACCTAATCGTAGGTTGTACAAATAATCTAGAACCTGACACAACGAACCCCTAGTTCAAAATCGTGCTTATAACTAGAAAAAACGGATATATTGATGACGATAGAGTACAAATCATAAATTTAGTAAAACAATTTTATTGAGGGAATAAAAATGTAATTAATATAACTACAGTATCGAACTTCAGAGGTCAGTAGGGGCGTCTAAAATTGATCCGCCTATTGGCGGAAAGTTAAACATATATTAAATATGTAAATCCGCCACTGCTACACTCATTGGTGAACAATATGGATGCCCAGCGCTCTTTAGTCCAATTAAGATGTTCATGCGCAAATTTGCTGGTCTAAAATTGATTATTAAAGCTTCCTCAAGCCTCCATCTCATTGTTCGTGCACTCACGATTACTGCATGTATGTACTTCATTCCGCTCTGTTTTGATATTTACTGACGTACGATTTCGTAGGGAAGTTGAAACAATAAATCGGTCGTTACGACGGGTGGTTCCTCGAGTTCCTCCGTTATTGAGTCTCCTTTTGTAACAACCTGTCTCTACTACCGTATACAAGAAACCGTAGACTGCTTTAAATTTAAATTTCTAGCAATCGTTAGATGATCCAAGCCTACGCGCACCAATGCGCACAATTTGAGCGGATTGATAGGACGAAGTATCCCTATTTTAGGGTTACAACACTTTTGTTAAGTTTAAAAGAGTAATAATCAATACTATTGGTAACAATAATAATCGCAAATGAAAAAGTAAAATAACTCTAATAACAAACGAATTTGAGAGATGCATAAATTTTATTTTTACCGCTATCATTTTATCTATTTTTTTACAGCAGTTCTATTTTTAAATTTTGATTTTTTTATGATCAATGGAAAGTATCGTAATTTTCATTCAGTTTAATCTAAAAAGTTTGCATACTTATCAAAAATATTAATTCGAAAGTAATCCTGAACTTTGATGCAGTTTATGAGTGCGTTTGTATTTAGCAAGAGAGATAGTGAACGCAAAAGGTAATCAGTCATTGTGTATTGTTAGTCTCTATGACATTAAATACATGACCTATTATATTTTACCTAACATTTACGGGATTGGGCTGGGCCATGCCAAACAAAGTCTCGGATTTTAAATTTCCAAACATTAAAGAAGAGTTACAGACTACTAGCGAACCGCCCCGGCTTCGCACGGGTGCAATGTATTATGAATATAAAAAACTTTCTCTTGAATCACTCTATCTAGTAAAAAAAACCGCATCAAGATCCGTTGCGTATTTTTAAAGATCTAATCATACATAGGGACAGACAGACAGCGGGACGACTTTGTTTTATACTATCACTAAATATAACACGTTATCTTACCTTTCCACGGTGGTTCTGCAATAATAAGTATAATTAGAAGTTCTTTTCATAGTTTATCCTTATTATGAAATGCTTTAATGAAAAAAGTTTTCCGGAAATATATTTTTATTTATGTAGTTTTTAAAGGGTACGTAGGCTAAGTCCTCTATTGCATACATTATAAAATAAGTGGGTACTTACAATTTGTATACATTACATTGTACACTTACAATTTGCACTAAAGAGCATTTAGTCGAATGGTTCACAAGATGGTGGATTGAGTAAAGTGCATGTATTATACTTTCGCGTTTCGTCTGGTAATTGAGATAACCGGGACCTACAACTAACTTTTTGACAAACTTTCTATTGCCAGTTGAGTCCCCCTATGTCACTTAGCAGTCGTATTAGAGACCTATGTTCAACAGTGGACTCAAACAGGCTGAAATGATGATGATTATGATGAATCAAAATATTTAAAAGAGCCAATGCAGCTAACATTTCTGTTAAACATATTTTAACTTACAGTACAAATATAATAAATATACAAATTAAAACAAAGGCAGCTGTTGTGGTTGCAGAAATTATATCATGTTGCACTAAAAACCATCGTTCGAAAATTCCTATCCGTTGTTTTGGCGGCACAATTAGAACGCTTCAACAAACCGATTCAAACTCCGGGCAATGAGATAGCCGGATGCGCACCTGTGTGCCTCCCTGCCGCTCGTGAGAACCGAGATCTCCACAAGATTTATAACAACATAATAAAACACTCATAATTAACAATTCCAAGCTACTATCTGTCTTAACATCTTGCCAATAAGACTCAACACAACTATCATGACCAGTAAGCAGGATTTGTTGTGAATTATAAAACTACACAAAGTGTTATGGCTGTGTTTGTTGTGTTATTTTATAAGCTTTGAACATCCGCGTACGACTATTATCGCAACTTTATAATTCAAAATGTTTACAAGAATTCTGAAGTAATGGGACAAAATACATTTTTCAAAAAAAATATGTCTTCTAGCGACTTTTGGAAAATATATTGCTTATGTAAATATTGTCTGTACAAACCAATCAATATATTTGTAGAATATATTTGTAATAATATATTTGTAAATTAGCAAGGACAAAACTAAGTTTAACTATTTCATCTAGTAGATGAAATAGTTCTTTTTCAACGAACGAGAACTTCGAAATGAAGGCAAGTAATTATTATTTAAATGATTACCTAGAATGGATATTAGATAGATTTCAGCCAATTAAAACTAGTATTCCCGGTCCACATATTATATACGTTTTTAAATTAAATCAAGCCTAAATATTACTCGAATATTAGGCAATTTAAGTCATTATTTAAAAAGTCCGGCCAAATCCTACTTGAACATGGTCACCCATGAAAAGAAACACGTGATCTGCGTGCAAAAATTTTAGCTGGTATTCAGCCGTGTGAACCCGACTACTGCGGAGTTTTTACCTTTTAACTGATTTTTATAGAAATATTTTTTACTGGCCCTTGAATTCATTTCATTGATCAAACCAACTCAATGAAACCATTTGGGTTAAAAAGATTTGCTGCTATTTTCATTTGCTGTTATGAAAACAACTGAATTATGTTATGCACCAATATTTCATTTTTTCAGTTGTATGTTTCAAAAAGCAGTGGACGTCCTACGGCTGATATGATGATGATGATGACGTAAGCAAAATAAAAACATACATGAAGTATACCCTTCGTGTTTTCCCCAAAAGAAGTAGGTACCAACAGTACGTGTGATAAATGACAAGAATAATGAAAATTGGATCACACAATTTAAAAATATGATTTTGTACCTATTAACGGCGTCTCCCACGGCCTCTTCTCTGGATATGTTGGTTTTGAATTGAATAAAGCAAAAAAATTTATAATTTGCATTTAATTTCTTTTTCACAAACAAAGAGTACTGGCACAAGGATAATTTTTTAGTTATTTTTCTTTTGTTGCGTTAAAGAAGTATAACTTCTTACGTGCGTACTTATGTACACACAATATTTCATGCAAAATAAATATAAAATGTATCATTAACCTTTCACAACGTAGCAAATGAGAACGCATTTTGATAAGTTCCCACAGTGTATTAACATTTAACAATTCAATGTTTCTTAGACGAGATATGTTAGCAGGAGTCATAGCGGGGCATACATATTAAAATCGCATTTTAGATTACCCACGTTGGATATGACGCGCGCCAACGGCCTACGTCATGTAAATAGGTACGTGATTTGGCTTTGGCTTTGAGCAGGCGGCGTGGCGTGCTCTTGTGCGTGTGAACTTCACCATTGTTGTTGCGCTGCACAGCGCAGGTGTGTCTGAGACTGAATGGCGCCAGCGCGCATTCCATTGCCGGTGACAACGCCCACCGCTCTGCCTAGTCCGTTTGCCAGACTGCAAGGAATACCGGCGATTCCATTAGTATACCCACTGGAAATCTGCACTCTAACGGGCAGAACGTTCTAAAGGAGAGTATAGACTTCAACATTTACTTGTAACAGAACAACGAGCCGCTCTATGATATGTTCTAGTGTATCATCCTTTCACGAATTAAACGTCGAGCACGCTCGCCTCTTTGTTACAAAACATATTGCATATTGGTGTAAGATTTCGTCGAGCGTATTGGTGTAACATTTCGTCGAGCCACGAGTGCGGGCGATGCGCGGATGCGATTTCTATTTTTCTTTTTTCTTCTAATATAATTCATCAAGATAAACGCAGCACACGCAACTTGTAGGTCCGACATTTCAAAAAAGAATGAACGCAAGGTACAACGAAATGTTGGTAAATGCACTCTCGCTGTGAGCATTTACCCGTAACATAACGCCGAGCATTCTCAGTAACGTTACATTACATGGAAATGCTTTGGAAACTGAGCTTTTGCATGTATTGTACCATTCGTAAGAACGTTACATTACACAGAAATGCTCCAGAAAATGTTGTAAAATGCTCACTTTAACATTTCTATAATCATAGTTGGCAGAATATGCTAACTAAATAAGTAATACATATTCTTAGGTGGCTTAAAATATGTTTTAATTGAAGCACGCTTCAACATATAGCCAATCTTGTCAGTGACTCTTTTGACATATGGCAATACAGCAGGCACTCGCTCAACTGTGGCTGGTTTCACTCGGTCGCTGTGACGCAGGCGCGGGATTTGGAGCTTGTTGTCACGCAGGACTTGCTTGACATTGGAATTGGATCGGAATAAAAATAAACAAAATATTTGACGGTATCCGGTGGACGGCTATGACATCAAGACGTATAACAACTTAGTCTGTCCCGTGACCATGAACGCTGGAAAGGGTTCGAAAAGTCGGGAGTTCAAATCAAAATAAAAAAAAACACGATAAAATCCGTAAACTAGTTTCATTTATTATATATAATATTCGCGTAAAGTCAAGAAAACAGAAGATTTGTATGTTTACATATAAACTAGCTGACCCGGCAAACGTTGTTTTGCCATATAAATTACATAATTTTAAGGTAGAAAAAAGACAACCCTTGACATTTATGTGAATGAAATAAATATCGTCCGATTCTCCACCCTGGCCGATATGCACACACAATTTCACGAAACTGGGTCGAGCCGTTTCGGAGGAGTTCAATTACAAACACCGTGACACGAGAATTTTATATATTAGATAATATTATATTAACAATATTTACAACATATCTAACTAAATGACATATTATCTATTAAATTTTGTCCACGCGGCATGGTGCCTCGCTGAATCGCTCAGAGAATAAGCATAACTGCTCAACCTTTATGCGAGAAAAGAACCAGCCCTTTTGTCACCAGCCGCGGCAATAAGTCAGAGAAACCAATTACAATAATCAATAATTTAATATCTAATTTCTCTTAACTTTTATGGAATAGTGTGTGTGTAACAATTAGATACTTCTCTACAGTTGCTGCGTCCAAAATACTGTGTTCGTGGTATATCATAGAGGTGCAGTAATTCTAAAGAAACTTGTAAAAATCAATAACCCTAGCGACCTACCTATCGACATAATAGAAATCATGACAACATAACGAACAAACATAAAAACATCATACCGATATAAATGGATGATATAAAAGTCTATCAACGCACACTGCACATCGATGCGAGTCTAATAAAATTAACACAAAAGTTATTTTGATATATTTATACCAGCAAAGTGTCTAGCCCTGGATTTTTTTGATTCTCGAAAAGAAATGCAGTTTCAATTTTCATGTAAATTTTCATTTATTCGCTTAAACATTGGTACATCAGAGGTGACACATAGTTCTTCTTCTTCTTCTTTTCTTTTTTGGCGGTTTTCAATGAATACGCCAATGAACACTTCTGGTTGTTTATGTGACACATATTTGCATATTGTATATAGTCCACATGTTTACCACATCTGGCATGCGAAAATTATTATTTAAATAAAGATAATTCATTATATACATAGATTAAATTAAACCAAATAAACATAAATTAAAAAAATTTAAATTACAATAATAATTTCAAGCAAAGAAGTTAATTATGTATTATTCAATTAAATTAAATTAAATTTAAATTACAATCATCATGTCAATCACTATAAATATTAAAAATTAAAATGTCAAAAGAGTAAATAATCGTTTTAAAGTTAAAAGTAAATAATGATAAAAGAATCTTTTAACTTTTAATATGTTAATTTATAGTTATATAATATTTGGATTTATATTTATATTCATTTAAAGTAGATCGACGGAGTTCCTCTAATTACTTTATGATGGTGGGCTTGTCAACCTTTGTTTTTCAAAATTGTCTACAAAATGCTATGTAGCCCTAATGCCTAAATTTTGGTCTACGACTTGCGGACATCTTGTTGTTTAACGACATAAACATGAAACACATAAACATTAAACATGGTTATGATGGAATATTAGTGTTACGAATTAAGGATTTGTATTTTATATTTAAAAAATTTGCACTTAACCAACTTTTTTTTCAAATCGATTTAAGATTTACAAAAGATTTGTTAAGATAATACAACGCCATCTTTCAATATACTATCTACCTACATGTTTAGACTTTTATAGCAATAACTAAAGACTAGTTGTTGTTTACTACTCGCTACTAGATGTCAGTAACAGATAACATAAAATACATGCTTATTATTTTCACTAAATACGTAATGCATACTTTAAAAATGTATATTTTCGCATTATTTATTTGATTAAAAATTTAAATATATATTTCTTAAGATTAGAAAATTTAATTGAAACTGGTAGGCAAAATTGAAATAATATTAATTATTATGTAGGCAACACAAGCTACGCATGGATTATGCTTCACTGATCACTCACTAAATTTCATCTCCCGGTATTGGAATTTGAATAGCGAATATTCTAGATTCTTCTAAGAAGTTTTCTAGAACTGCAAAGCTCGTTTCTTGTTATTTGCTCTTAATATTTTATTTCTCTTAACATAATGGCAGCCGCTGTTAAACGTCTTATTCCATTGCTGGATCGTGTTTTAATCAAGAGAGCTGAAGCAGTTACGAAAACTGCAGGCGGCATCGTTATTCCAGAAAAGGCCCAATCTAAAGTTCTACACGGTGAAGTGATTGCTGTTGGTCCTGGCGCAAGAAAAGAAAATGGCGAGTTTGTTCCCGTGTTAGTGAAAGTCGGGGACAAAGTTCTTCTACCGGAATACGGCGGTACAAAAGTATCCCTTGAAAATGATGAAAAGGAGTATCATCTTTTCAGAGAATCAGACATTTTAGCAAAGATTGAAAATTAATTTTAGTGATAGTTTTAATTTCGCGGGATTCGAATTGGTTCAGAGTTATTAGATTTAGTTATGTACGAAAATGTGATTGTGTAATGTTCGTTGCTGTGGGGCATAATGTTATCTTATTTGCATTTATTATAACATTGTTATAAAATTTGTCTTTTTTTCTTATTGACCTCCCAAAAATTACACACCGCATCTGTATTTCGAAAAACGTGAACATAACCTAACTTTAGTCATACTGGCTAACTAGTCTTATAACGCAGAAATGGTGAGCAATACGATGTTTTTATTTTCATTATTCGAAGTTACGTAACTTGTTAATGCTTATGAAATAACATAGACGATCAGAATAAATATAATCACATGTTGGTTTCTGCAATAAATTAGCTATTTTTTACTACTCTGAATGTACAATAGGATTGTTTGGATGGCGCATTGGTTTAAAATGATGCATTGCAAATCGCTATTGTCTACTTTGTATTTGGGATTGTCACATGGTCATCTGTCTAGGAAAAATGTGTGCTTCATACCTTTATAGTTCTTCTATATATCTTCTTTGTGAGTCTGGTTTCACTTTCAAAAGATTTCTATCTTGCAAGAAAGTAAAATACCTGTCCTATATATTTCCACTTTTAAAACAGTATTTCAAATTTAGAACACTGCATATTGTGAAATATTCACAAATAACATTTAATGATTGGCACAACATGCACATAATCCTTACCTTAAAAAGACACCACCTAAATTCCTTTGTTACCTCTCAGAGCAGAACCTGATCGAGGTTCTGCTTCAAAATATGCTTTTTTTTTTTTAATTTTTAACAAACGTTTGGATATTAATTACAAATAAAATAATAATTTGATAAAATAAAAAGCATTTATTTATATCATTATAGTATCAGCATCGGCTATAAGAATTGTATAGACATATTAAATATAAAATGAATCACAACTACACTTTTTGTAAACTATTACAACTTTTTACTATGGCAAGCAGTTATAGAACATATAGTCTACCTGTAAAGTTTTCAATTGTACAAGAGTTTCTTTCATTACAAATTTGTCTGTATGGCATATATATTTAAAATAATACTGTATTTAAACCCTATCACATATTAATTATTACTATAATTTATTTGATTACAAATATTTGGTAATACATATAGGTGGCCTTAATGCTGCTTTAGCAATTAGACTGCAATGTACAAAATTTTAACTGTATTATTATTTTGTGGGTTTGCTGGGGTGAACTAAACTGACCGATAAAGATTTCTTGTATTTATATTGATACTATACATGGTTAAACATAATTATTTTATGGATTTTTATTTTGACGATGTCTCACCTGTACTGTAACACTGCAGTACTCATGATCACAGGACAGTATATTTATCAGATTTTCAATAAAGTTTTCATAAGGGAATTTAAAATAAAAATAAAACATAAAATCCGGAAAATAGTTTTCTTTAGTCATGTTAGATTGATGTTTTTCTCTTTCAACAAGAATTTTGTATATAAAAATGCTTGCTCTTGTAGCATAATTTAGTGACATAACAATTAATGTGAAAAATAATTATATTTATAAATTGATGTACAATTGCTAAATATTTCAGCTGTCTTAAATTTATTCATAAATAATGAAATTATTACTCACCTCATAGCTCTTATGTCTGAATTAACTATGATGTATATCAAACATCTCAGTGAAATCAAAACTATGGATAAGACAAAACCTTTAAGCAATTAGAAATTTAAATCATTTATGAATAAGAGACAAATTAAGCTACCTTGGCTATTATCATTAAACAAGTAGTATTTGCACAAATAACTACACAAATGAATAGCAAAATTCTAATTTGTTTTGTACACTAAGTACTAAATAATGGTATGGTTCAAAATGAGGCCATGTAGGTACATCATTAAAAAAAAAAAAAAACAACATTACTGCAAAGATATAGCAGTTCTTCTGACTGCTGCTGATAGTGCAGGGTTTGGATCTGGAGGCTCTGTAAGCAGTTGTACAGTGGTCCAACATCCATCTTCGCTTGATTTTCTTAATGCTTCCATTGCTGCTTGAACTCTTTGACCATCTTCAAAGGTGGCTGCAGCCCTCACAGGTTCTTTAACCCAATCCATTTGCTCTTTAACTGGAAGAAATGCTTCCTTGAGAGCACTTATCATTTTACACAATCCTTTGATGTAAGGTTTTGGTATCACACTTGAAGTGCAACTTAAGTCTTCTATATCAACATAGATAACATCTTCTTTATCATGTTGTCTTTTACTTTCTTCGTCGGGAGTACTTTTTTGAGCACTTTTGTGAAGTTTACCGTGCAAGTCCCCACCTCTTACAACCAAATAACCTTTTTTACTACACACATATATTTCCTGATTGAAGCATGGACCAGGCAGGTGATTGTTTAGTGTAGCTGTCACTAATAGTCCCTTATCCATTTGCAACTGGAAGGTGCAAAAGTCAGGGGCAGTAATTTTCCTTATACCATTGACTTTAGTCGTCTCTTCTACAAATGTCCTAAGTACCCCATGTACTTTAACCACTCTTTGACCTGTCAGAAATGTAACTAGATCAATAACATGACTTCCAACAAGTGTGAGAGTTCCTCCACCCATAGTATCATCACATAACCAGTTATAGGTATCTCCTAGTAAGGAGCCCATTTGGACACGGACGTCTATTAAAGTGAGTTCATCTGCATTACCCAGATAGCCATCTAATATTGCCTTCCTCATATGACTAAATGCAGGCAAAAATCTCAAAGAATGGTTTATAATTGAAATTAGGGTTGGATAATATTGAGCTGCACGAACCATTTTCAATGCTTCTGCTTGACAAAGCCCAGCAGGTTTATCGCAAACAACATGCTTTCCAATTCCAAGAGCTTTTACTGATATCTGTGCATGGAGATTTGGGGCACAAACGATAAATACGAGATTGACATTCTTTTTCAATAAAACATCATCAATTTTATTAGTAAAAAATGGAATCTTAAGCTCCTTTGCGGTGGCTTCTGCCTCCTGAATGGTTGTGCCCCATATAGCTTCCACTGAAAATCCTTTTTCTCTCAAAAAGGGGACTAGTACTTTAGCTACTGATCCTGTTCCAAATACTCCTATCCCAGGAAGCATATTTATAATTTACAATAAAAATCATTTAAGTTCTTTGTTGTGTAAGTCACTGTATTTTATAAAGTATCTGTTAATTTGCGACTGTTACGAAGTAGACTATTAAATAATGAATGATAACTGGATCTTTTGCGTAATTTAAGCATACCATTAATTAGTAATGGTTTACATAAAACAGCTAGTCAAACATATTTTGAATCGAACGAATCTTAGATAAGACTGAAACGATATACTGAAGACGATATACTGAAACGAATTATCCGACAGGCAGGATCTACAATAAAATTTGTTGTTGATGTTGTTGTTCATTGTTGTTGACAATTGACACCTGTCAATGTTCAGTTTTGAAAAAGATGATAAATGTAATGTCAAACTTTAACATCTCTATTTACTACATTTTTGTAAGATATTTACTATTTATTTATTTATCTAACATTTACAAGATTAAATCTATCTTAAAGATCCACTATAATATATAATATTATCTAATAAACTTAGTGGATTAGGTCGGCATGTGGCCAAGAACGCTAGCTGCATTTCCTCGCTGAATAGTTATCCATTGTGCGAGAAAAGAAACAGCTCTCTTGTCACCAGCTGCGGCGTTAAGCCTAGGACATAAATCTTTAAAAAAATTGATGTGTGGTAAACACAAGGACCCAAAGTTTCAACAGCAAAATTTGCTGTTGAAAAATAATAGAGAAAAAAATACATAGAGAACTAAACGTAGAGATTCATATTTATGCCATTTACTTACTTCAGCTGCCTCCGATGCCGCCCCGGCCCTGAACGAGGTACTCTTTAGTTGAGAGGCGGCCAAAGTGTATACACAAGTAGCATCCCAAACAAGGGCTTTGCTTCTCTGCCAAGGGATCAAAGTTAAACCGTCGGGTTTCTTACCATTCGTCGCGAAAAATGCCACAGGGCTCTAAAATAGATGGAAAATTGATGGAAACAAGAGCCCTATGGATGATGTCGTTCAGGTAACCGTGGCGGGAAAAGCGGCCAGCACGTTTTTGACAAGAAAGCACGTGGAGACCAAATTTGTCTACATTAACATCACAAGGGCATTGGTGCGGTTGACAAATCGGTGCCCTTTTTTTTGGTATCGGGGGGGAAATCTTCAGAAGATACTCTGTCACGTTACATGACGGGGTTATGTGAGGTTCTTACCCACTAAAACCCCCTCGGTGGCCACCCTCTGTACGTTTGGAGGGACTCCGGGATCTCCCACGGAAGGCACCGGTGTCCCTCTGTACTCCGCGTGAGTACTCTCAGGAGTAGGATAGCTTCCCCGGTTCCCTCTCCATCTTGCAGCAGCTAGAGACCACTTCGAGCTGCTGCCAATCCGATACCGATACTTTTAAACTGTCTAACTGATAAGATCACTTGGCACATCATCAACTTTACTTCCCAACGTACCATCGTCTAGGTACCAGACATTAAGTTTAGATTTCAATTTTTAAATAAATGAATGAATTCCCAGAGTAAATAATGCTGTCCCTAGCGGATCTTCCTGCTGAACGCCGAAAGCAGAATCAAGGGCGGATCCAGCTTTGGCGGCAGGAGGGGGTCACGTAGTCGTGGTCAAGTGATAAGAAGTTATAATTTAATTTTCATAATCATAGATAGAAGTAAAAAGTAGGTACTTATTTTTAACCGACTTCAAAAAGAAGGAGGTTATCAATTCGGATGTTTATATTTTTTTTATGTGGCTATGTTCGGGCATACCTTCGTCATATATAGACGGATTTGCAAAATTCTGTTTTGCTCGTACATAGTGTTGATTTTTATTATGATATATTATACAGGTGGCTTTTATAAAGGTGCCCAAATTCACACAGGAGGTTCAAACTCGGTAATATAATTTTATTGAAATAAAAACAAACTTTAAAAAAAAAAAATTGGCATTTTATTTCTTAAAAACATTTATAAATGCGTCTACTTTTGAAACGAATATGTTGTGTGCGTGTTAGTTATGAAAGATCGCGCGTAAAATAAATGAGTTGCCCATAAATCACGCACTTTCTGAGATAAGTTCAAATGAATGTAATTAATTAATTACGAGTGATTTTAAAAATTTATCATTTTTATATAACTTTATTTTAAATTATTTTAACTTTATTTTGAATTTAATAAAAAAAATGGATATACTTAGGAAAGCCACCATGTGTAGTATTTTTTTAAGTAGCTATTGGTAGGCTTACTTATTTTTGGAATTTCTTTTATTTATTTCTTCGTTACCAAATTTTATGTAGTTGTATTGGTTATAATATTCTCTATTCCTCTACTCCGCAAGCTGGCTCCACTTCAATGACAAGTAGCCTAAGACGAGACTATCGGGACACGGGTTGATATTAATATATAATCAACCCAAATGAAAAACCCTAAAATAGACGTACACAATAAAAAAAATGTTCATAAATAACAAAAAAATTCATTCATTCATAATATTCAGCGCTTCGAATCTATCTAATCAAAGACAGATTCATAACAAACGGAAAGAACAATCTTTATTTCCCAAAGATGGTCTCGCATACTCACGTCCACCAAACCACCACATCTCACCACCCATCAAAAACGGTCCACCCACTAAGACAAATCAAACTCGACGCAGTTGTGTTACTTAATTACTGAGTTCCTTTGGCCACATTCCAGCTCTGTCATCAGACCCTGGTTACCATCTAGTACCAAAGAACTCGACATGACGAATCAAACGAGCCGAGACGTAATAGGGTTGCGTCGTTTCTTTACTGAATTCATATGTCTATCTTCCAGCTCCAATCATCAGATCAGACCCTGGTAATCATCTAAAAATTAAGAACTCGCCAAGACGAATCAAACGAGCCGAATCTCGATGGGGTTGAGTCGTTTCATTACAGAGTAGTCATAGGAACCTCACAGAATAGCCTCATAGACCTCACAGAAGATCGGCGTAAAATACTTCTGTGATTTGTCTGGTGAGTACCTCACTCAAGAGATGCATTTTGCTCCGGCTCTGGCTACCTAGCCGGAGCCCACTTTATTATAAGGAGAAAACGCATCTGCAACCCTATGCATGGACGGCTAAAGATGGAGCTCCTTCATCATATCGTAGTTACATCAAACAACTATCTGTGGACAGCACACATAGTTGTCCCGTATGGGAATCGAACCCACGACCCCCCACGCCGAAGCCAAAATCTTGGCAACTGCGCCACAGAGTCATCAAAATATTGTACAAATGTTCATAAAATGAAAACTACTTGGCCAAACTATGGTAAATTTTTATGGGACCAAATGGCAACTATTCTGCATCAAACTAAAGAAGAATCACGGAAATCGGATCAAATCTCAACGTAATCGGTGTACATACATCGAAAAAAATATACCAATCAAATTGTGAAACTCCTCCTTTTGAAGTCGGTAATAACATTATATTATTTTAATTAAATATTGAAGGTACGTACATAAAGTCTATATATGTGTGCAAAAAATATATAAAAACATTATGATTAACAATTTTAATTAGTGGTCCACCTAGGTCCTGGACCCAGCCCAGGGGGGGGGGGGTCATGACCCCCATGACCCCCCCCCCTGGATCCGCCCTTGAGCAGAATCAATAATATTCTTCATAAAATAAATTACTCTTGTCACTGTAACATTGCCAAACATAATGATATATTTTTGGTGTACGGTGAGCTACTTCGTTGAGCAGAGTCGTCCTATCAATGGAGTTAAAAGCATTCCTTGGAAATACATCCAAAGCACTAGTATTTAAAGAAGTTCGAACGAAACGTACAGCCACTTCACAGCCGCGTTTGCTTCCAAAGCCTAGTTGAACAGTTGAACAGTTTCGTTTTAAAGCCGGAGATTATGTGCCTACATGCTAATTTTGAAGTTAGGCGTCGAAAGGTAGAACCAATAGCAATAGGACGGATACCATTATATTTTTTCTTAAAGGCACATAATCTTGCCCCGTACAAGAAAAATAATTTACTTTTCCGGAAAGCATTAAGTTGCCACTGGTGGCAGATTAGACACGTCCTTTTATACATATATCATTTCTTGTATTTAAGAATATTGAACGTTATTACAATGTAACCATTTATAAAAACAAGGTTGATGTGCAAAGCTCATGTCACATAGTATGAAAATTTGAAAGAAGAATGGTAGTGGGACAACGGACGTCTTATTTGCACTCCGTGTGTGTATAATCCTGCATATGGTGTTTGTTGGTCTGGAGAAGGCATATGACCTGGTACCACGGCAGTTTTTGTGGTGAGCAAGAGAAAAGAGTCACTGGAAAGTACAGTCACAGCTTCATTTCCGGCCGACTATTGGCTGAAAATTCGGTTTTCGAGATATATCACTAGTAGTTCATTTGACTTCGCGCGAGTTCATGGTTCGCATTCTTTTTGTTCATGTTCAATTATTATTATAAGATTTATTAACTTGAAATAAACGTTTTATTTTCGTGCACTACTATAAACACTGCACAAACTAGTAGGGAAAAATAAAAGTGCAATAGGGAAAAAAAAAGTAAATTTCATAATCTAATATATAAAATTCTCGTGTCACGGTGTTTGTAATTTAACTTCTCCGAATCGTCTCGACCGATTTTGTGTGCATATCGGCCAGGAGAATCGGAAAATATATTTTTCATCCCCCTAAATGTTAAGGGTGGTCCACCACAAACATTTTTTTCTACCCTACAAATAATTTATATGGCAAAACAACATTTGCCGGGTCAGCTAGTAAGAAATAAAACGATTTATAAACATGTAAATTAAACAATGTACAAACTCATTGGTAATGTTTAAAATACAGCAGGTTATATACATAATTACATAAATAATGTATTGTTGTACGTTTGTTAGCTTAATTTGTTTTATCGAGCTAAGAAGGTAGAAATATAAATACTTTTACCAAATCACCGTAGTTTACTTTGCACAACAATAACACTTGTATAATTACTAATCTTCACTTTTAGACCACTAAAGAAACACCACTTAATTTGATTAAAAGATTTAATTTGTGATACCGATTGGGCAGCACTATCTTGTATACTTCTTGTTGACAGCCGAAGTAGTAGAAGACCATGAAATGCTTCGTGCAGCTTCTAGACGACCTCATAGAATGACAGTTCTTTTAGTGTTGCCAACAACCTCAAGGGACGACTTCTTTTAATGTTGCCAATACGTACATAATATAATTAATAAGATTCTTATGATAATTAATAGGGGCTGCAGACGTTCAGGTACGAAGTTTTTTAATAGAACAATGTTAGCATCTTTAATTAGAAATAAATTAAATCTACGTGATGTATTGAATATAGAATTCATGTAAGTGGGGAAAAAGAATAATATTTGTTGAGTAAACAACCAGCACCGCGCCGTAAGTCACACTAGATGGCGCTTAAAACGAAGCACTTCGTCGGCCGGTTAAACTAAACGCGTTGATATTCGCCACCTGGATTTTGTAGGGTTGTCTCAAAAACATGATGTGAACGAATAAATAAAGACAAAGGTGTTTTTTATTTTATTTTAAACTAAACGCACAAGGTTCAGAATATTTATTATAAATCACCCATAATATTAGAAACTAAATAAATTTGTTATTGACTTGTTTTAGAACAGCATTTTGTTATTTTTGATGTATTATGTCTTATGCTGAAATAATTCTCACAGACACTTTCTGTAAGGGTAGCACAGAGTAACACTTTGGCCGATTACCGTATTAGGTAATAAATTATTCGTCACTGGAGATATCCTAAACACGAAGTCGCAGAAACAGTAGATCCTCACTTCAACAACAATTTATGGATTATACAATTCAGCGGCCATCACGCTGGCAACGACAGTATAGTGACCACCTGAACTAGTTCACACATGAAACACCAGTAATTTTATTAATAATTGATAATTTATTACTACGCGTGAACCCTATACACGTCCTATTTGCAGCGATCCGTCCGATACCTCACGGTTGGGAGCTGCCGTAGTTGATCACTTCCACAATTAGGCGCGAGTGACGACTTCAAACAAAAGTTAAATGCACGGGAAAATATAATACGTCTGCAGTTCAGCACTAATTTGTAATTACGGGCATTTGTTGACAAAAACACGACTTTAATCAAAGCAATTAAGGGGATTTATTGCAATTATAAAAAAATTGTGATCAGAAACTACGTTCTCCCTCATCAGCGCTGTTAGTTATATTTTACTAAGTGTAGTCGAAAAACAATACATCTAATATCGATAAATAAACCTAATTATGGTATTCTAAGTAATAGGAATAATTGTATTTGACAATTTTTTTAACTCGTTTGGATATGATAAAGAATAAAATTATGCGTCCTAATATAAAGTTCATAGATTGACGTATATATGTGAAATAAAAAATATTGCATCTCAAACTTGCCAGTGCGTAGCACGTGTACAGACTGATAAAGTATTATGTGTCAGCGGAAGCATGACCCGCCACTCGCGCCTGAGAAGCACCCTGTCAATCTTTTTCCTCCACCATGACAGCCCTAATTGCTTCTCGTTTAAAAAAAACATAATTTTCTGGCTGCAAATCACATTGGCAATTTTGTTAAAATTATGTTATTACACAGTTTGTTACTTAATGCTAAACACCGTTATCGACCGCCGAAAACAATTATTCGCCCTGTCCAATTTTGTTAATAAGTCATATGTTCAAAACTTATTACGATGTACCTTGTATTTGATAAAAAGCGTATATTTGTTTTTGTATATGTTTTATGTAACAGTCAGTTTCATTAAACGTAAATTCGTTATATGAAATGTGATTCCTCGTGTTGTTCATTTGTTTTCAACATGTTAATTTTCCTTTATCTCTAAATAAGTTTAATGTTCATCACTTAACCGTATAATTCTCAGTCCCACAAATCTCTCCCATTTGCCGAGGGATAAACCTGAAAACGACCCGGGAGGGGCGTCTACAAGCGCCGCCCAACAGCTCCGAGCCGCCCGCCTTGCGCGCGCGCATCTCAAATGATGAACGACACGCTTGCAGGCAAGAGGGCGCGCGAACAACCCCCGGAAATACAACGTCGGTTTTGAATTTCGAATATGAATGACAGTGCAGTGGAAGGCTAAAGTGTGGTGTGCTGTAAAGTAAAGATGCCCAGAAAACGTGTCCACAGATCTCCGCCCATTGAGAAGAGAACGGACGACCCGGACGACGACGACTTTCTGTTTGACGACACTCAATCTAGCTCAGGTATTATAGGATCGATTACTTAAGACAACAAAAATGAGATCGGGAGAGCCCCGTAGATGCTTCTCCAGCCATGAAGTTTTAAAATATTAAATAATACACGTACTTCGTAATGATTTTCCTCTTTGATGATCTTCCTGTATGTGACAATCCAAAAAGTTGAATAAAATATCAAAAAGTATTGTCCACATGAAAATCACATACTTTTGAGCAAACGCACGGAAAGCAAAACACGGTCCATTTAGTATGGACGAAATATCTTAAATATTTTTGTCACTTAATTTACAGTTGTGTTTCTTTATAAGTCACAAATTCACTTGTGTTAGAGGTAGTAAATCGGTGTTAGATCGTTGATTGCACTAATATTATAAAATTATGATAGTTTGTTCCGTCAAAGCGTCGAAACGGCCACGGTCGAATTGTGGAATAGATATAGCTTATATACGTTTGATTAAAAGGATATGCTCTTTTATGTTGTTTAACCCATTTTAAAATTTATTCAAAAAAGGAATCACGTGGCCGTAGCAGTCAGAAGTGTTTAATTCGTTATCGGTTACTATATAGTAACTATACACCTACGAAATTATTAATTTCCATTTTAAATGCCAAAAAGGCTGCTAATCCACAGTGAGATCACGTGGTAGACTACGCAGTAATGCACTTTGTACATAGGAAACCTTTTTCTAGCAGGGGGGCATAATATTTTCCGTTACATTACTTTACTTTTTTTTGCTTTCCATATTATTCCCCCAATGTGCAAGGCTGCGAGGCTGACTACGCCTAAGGCTCTCTGTCAAGAATAATAATAAAAAAAACTATCTGCGTTGACTAGCACGAAAGTTCAAAACAATAAAATGTTATTCCTTGCTCCGTGAGAGAAACTAACCCACATCTCGAAGCATCGTCGTCATCATGTAATTAAAACTCCCTGTTCAGCATATTGGCGGAGCTGTAGTTGTGGGTACGCTCTCTTATTTCCTCCAATCCATGTCCTAGCAAGTGACGGCCCTCTGCCATCTACCATTAAAGCGAGCTTGCCAACGCCGTCCTGCTCGTTTTGTCGTTCCTCTTTGTGTGGACTACTGATTGCCACAAAACAGCCGCTGGTTAATCTTAGTGGTAGTGGCTCTCAGTTGCTGGTTTGGTTTTTTGGCTTCTGAGTTTTGTTCTGCTGTGAATTGCAAGAATTTCATTTTTAAGATGCCGTGAACTAAGAGAACTAAGAGATAACTCTTCCTTCGCGGCATCTCTGCCTCAGATATCATAGATAGAACGCAACACCAATTTTGCACATGTCCCTTATCCCAACTTGATTTTACCGAGTGTTTATACGGTGGCGATACATGTGATACTCCGCACTTTAGTGACTATGTACTTTATTTTAAGTATGCAATTTATTATAAGCCTTTTCTTCGGTTCATCTTATGTGACTACGCCCCGGCTCATTAGCCCTTCACCCAGGATAAGGAGAGATTCCATTCGAGAGGAGCAGCGTGATTCTATCTTTTAAAATTTTATGAGCTCTTTATATCGCGTTATATTATATTAGTTATAAATAAAACTTACCGCACTATGTTCCTTAAACCTTACAAATAACACTTCCCTTATGGCGTCGTCTCAAAAGACGTCGTGCTATACACATATGCCGTTGCTTCACTTACTATAAGGTAATTCATTTTTGCTGTATTGTGACACAGTTATGAGAACGATAGTAAGGTAAGTAGGTAAAAACCATACCTACACTCATGTATATACGTCGGTATAAATTATTGTTTACTGCACAATAATTTAGTATATCCAATGGACATTAATTTACTGTATATAGTATGCAGGATTAACAGATTGAAAGATAACATGATCAATGAAAACAAAATAGAAACATTTAAGTTGGTAGTAATTAAAGTCTAAATACGGCTCTATCTTGAGTCTCTATCACTAATACATAGGGTATGGACTGTACCGTTCGACAATGGTTAATATATTTTTTACGAATATCCTTTTACGATTTTTGTTAATTCGTGTGGCCCAAATGACGCAGTCAAGTATTTCTATTCTTGATTGACAAATTCCGTAAAGCATTATACGTAAGGAATAACGTAAATGCATAAAAACAAAGCGATTTTACTATCTTATGTTACGGGATAAGTAATAATCATTTAGAGCGATTGAGAAAAAAATTACGTTCTTCAAGATCTACATGTACTTAACGGTTACTTTACTAAACTAGCTAACTAATTTTTAAACTACTGCGTGGATGTTATTGAATCACAATTGTCTAAATTGGTTAGTCTTTAGGACGGTTATAAGTATTTATTGTATTTTTGCGTGGAAGAGGTTGGGTAGTAAGTGCCTATTGCGACCTAAAAAGACCTTTAGTAGTTTTCCCTTCGGAAACATTGCACCCTTACTGTGGGATAACACTATCCTGAGTAAGGACGTTTCACATATACACATTTCGCGTGGACACATACCCAGATCCGAAAAAAATATCTATGGGTTACACAATAGTCGTCGCGTGTGGGAATCGAAACTAAGACCACCGGTGCCGAAGCCAATACCTTGGCAACTGCGCCACGGAGTCATAGGACGGTTAACTTTATGACTAAACATATTTCCTCGTTTCAGGGAGGAGTTCACACGAACCCCAACACAGAAACGCAGCAAATGCCCGGGAGAGGGCAAGGATGCGAGTTCTTTCAAAAGCATTTTGCAGGTACACTGATTACATAATAAACTAGCGCACCGCCCCGGCTTCGCAAGGGTGCAATATTTTATACATATAAACCTTCCTCTTGAATCACTCTATCTAGTAACAATAACGCATCAAGATCCGTTGCATAGTTTTAAAGATCTAAGCATACACAGGGACCGACAGGCGACGGGACGACTGTTTTATACTATGCGGTGAAGATATATTTTTTAAAAAATTGTTGAAATGCTATTGATTCATCATAAAATCATAAACCGACAAAGAATTGTTATTGTTCCACTTTTATATGGTTGATAATAGTTTGATTTTGCTTATTTAACAAACTTTATTTTTGGTTTCGTATGAAAAAAAATGTGTTCGCTATTTTTACTATTTTTTTTTTGTTATCGTTCCATGTTTGCTTTATTCTTTTACTTCGAATAGCTCAAAGGTCAAATTATTTCGTGTTAATAATTAGGTTTAATATCATAACTGATACACATATTGCACGCTGCACAGGTTGAAAACAACCCTACCGTGGGTGCCTGCCGACACCAAATTGTCGAAGCTTGACACGCTGCGGCTAGCAGCGTCCTACATAGCACACCTGAGAGCTTTGCTGCACGAGCCACGTTCAGCGCACACCCCACCACACCCATTAAGTCTCGTGAGTCTTTTATATTTAACTAGGGATCCGCCCCGGCTTCGCACGGGTGCAATGCTGAATGTTTGTTTTCGACGTCGCATTAGAAATCTCTAAAATTATCAGTGTTGCTCTACTATATTATGCCTGATACATAAAAACCCTCCTCTTGATCACTCTATCTAGTTAAAAAAAACCGCATTAAGATCCGTTGCGTAGTTTTAAAGATCTTAGCATACATGGGGATAGACAGACAGCGGGACGACTTTGTTTTATACTATGTAGTGAAGGTGGCTAATAATCACGCTTCATTCGATAGCAAGTTGCTAACGGGTGTCCATTAGGTCTGTCCGGATGGTGAAAATCATTTCTAGACTTTTTTATTTGAGAAGGTGGCAACAGTGCTTGCTGTTCACCTGATGTTAAGTGACCGCTGCCCATTGACATTTGCAGCCCCGTTTAGTTGCCGATGCGATAGATTGCCGACCTTTAAATAGAATGGGCCTCGGCTACCTCACTCCCCAGACGAATCGAAGAAGAATGCCCGTCTTCACGCCAGTCTTCTTTGAGGTCGTGGTACTTACGCAGACGGACCTGCCCATTCGTGCAACTGCAAAAGTTTACTTCCTATTTCAATTCATATTTGTTCTGTGCAGTAGCTATTGTTCTATCTACCACAATGTACAAATATAGCCTTTAGAAATGATTTACCTCGCTAACCAGCGTTCTTCAGAATAATTTTTAAAAAAGGCCCTTGTCATATTGATGAGCAGGTTGGGGCAGTTCACCGCTTCCCTTAACGAGGACTAAGTGTAGGCACATCCAGTTATAGACTAACGCACATCTTGGTTTTATCTGAATTTTTTGTGCTAGTCTCTGCACTGATGATGAAATTATTTTTAAAAAATGGATAGATTTGAAAATATTTGCGCCGTGAAGTCATCGGCTGCTTAGCTTAATTGGTAAGGCGCCAGAGCACGCTACCTGGAAGAAGATTTTATTCTATTTATCTGCAAAAATTCATGTTTCAAATATTTTTATTAATATATAAAATATATTTCCGCGGTTGTCACTTGATCTCGAAACGTGACCAGTTCGTTCACCTCAAATAACATATTCGACAAATAAGATCAGTTTCCTTGGTTCCTACGGCAGATTTTTTCGTTAGGTATCCTATTCGCCTATAGAACAAATAGCGTTCTCTGCGTTGCTTTCGTACTGACTTTTTTGAAGTAAACGCTTTGTAAATGTCTGAAAAATACATTTAAAAACTAAATGTACACATTTAACGGTGGCAGGGCCACGCAACATTCTTCGTTATGCAACAACTAAAAATGCCTACCACCTATTTGGGCTGGTCCGGGGAACTATCACGACCTCACAGAAGACCGGCGTGAAGTGGAAATGTTGTACGTATGCTTTTTACTGATTACGTTACGCATCTGGTGCATAAGGTAATCAGTGCCCACTTAATTAAAAGTTGGCATCGCTTTCTCAATCCGACGGGTGTTGCAAATATCTATGAGCGGCGGTTATCACTTAACATAAGGTCAAATGGCAGCTCACTTGGCATCTTTTTCTTCTACATTAAAAAAACATACCCTGTAAAATACTATCATAGTGTTTATAGATCGTATTTTAGTAGTTGGATTGCTTCCGGTTAGTGCGCTAGTCGTGGAGACTTCAAAAATAAGCTTAGATGGTGTCAGAAGAATGAAGAGAGGATGACCAATTAGTTCGCCCTCGTCTACTAGCATGGCGAAACTAGCACAATGTACACCCTCGTTCCAGGGCGGTCCTCACCACCTCCAACCTACGATTAATTCAGTCATCGGCCATCGGGATAACCCTCTGTACCGAGCCTCGATGGCCCGTACCTGAAATTAGTCCCGTCTAAAATGAAGCACGCAATCCAAACGCAAATTGCCGTATCGAGCTCGTGAGTTCTGGATAGTGCGCGCCTTCTGCGTTTGATGAAGCTTTAATAGTCTACGGATCGATAGCAAAACATCAGTTAAAGTAAAGTAATGTAAAAACGTTGAACCGGACATGGCCTATGCCATACGGTTACATTACGGTCAGAATAAGAGAACGGTAGTCCACTATGGATATACGGAAACTTCTTAATAAAAATAAACAATCGAAATAAAAATAAACATTTAACGCTTTAACAATTTTTAATTGACGCATAATAGCTCAAGTGATAAACTGGAAATTTCTTCATTAAACTTGCAAGGCTATTTTAACTATTTGTGTATATTGCTTAGTTAAACGGATATACGAGTATTTATACTTACTGAACAAGTTACAAGGAAATACTAAATAAGAGCTGCTGTGGCTACGGAGATTAGGCACTTAAATCGCTGTCTAAATGAAAAACTGTCTCGAAACTATAGCGCCCAATATAAAAAAAGATATCAATCGGCAGACCATTTATTTGAACACGGTTACAGAATGGCGTCGAAACGTGGAAGTCCCGCCCAAAGTTCGGTGAGCGTAATTGCTCACGATTTATCCCCTGTCACACTTGTCATCCCCTTAATTCGTACGAGCGGGCACGAGCCGGCCCGTATATCGGTGCACATTAGCCAAACACCACATCGACAGAGCCCTGTCGTCGACGGATTATAAGACACGTTCCACGAAGGCTGCGCGTATGATGTATAGCGGGATTAGTGTAAATACGAGAGCGGTTTCGAAAATTTAACGTCGCGATTCTGGCAACATTTTTGACAGAAATTATGAGCGAAAAAAATCGTAGCCTTTCATTGTCGCTTTTAATGGCAGTCTGTGAGGGACGAGGTGTTCAACGGTGGACACGAACTGGCTGATACGATGATGATGATGATGTTTGTCAATGACATTTCAATAACAAAATTGTTAGTAGTTGTTTCATCGACATAATTTAAATGAAATTTGGTAATTTTATTTATTAAATGAATAATTATACACGTAATTATGTTTTTGTTGCAATAAAAGTGTTATCCGTTTTCTGTGAGTCTGAAATATGTTTTTTTTTTAATTTGTGCGGCTTTTTGTTGCCATAAAATATTTTGGTTACTTTTTTGCTTGTCATCGTGTGTGTTCTTGGGTTTTCTGGCAAAAACCCTTTCGTCCAAATGCATACTAATGTTGAAGTTGTTATATTTGGGCTAAGCGGTTCTTCCGTTTTACAATAAACAAACCGAGTCAAATATCCCCAACTGGAATACGGGCTTAAACGATAGAAACAAAAAGGTTAAAACAATAAACAGTACAATTTTACGCTCAAAGCGCGCGTTGACCAAAAGTTTGCAGCTGTTAAGCGTATAAATAAAATTTATCTCCGGACGTTAAAGAGATGCTCGGGTTTATTGTTTCCACGATTCCTTTGTTTAATGTTGAATTAAGAGCGGTGTGCGTAGGATTGTTCAATCTCACTGCATTCTAGCAGAATAGGAACGCAACCAAGACGTTATTAATAATTTATATTATTTGTAATGTTAACTTTTATAATTAAATCATGCACATATTTTCAAAAGTTTATAGAATTATGGCATCTAAATGTAAGATCGATGGAACTTGATCTTTTTACGAAGTGATGTAATAAATATAATCAAAAAATAAAATTACAATTTTTTTAGTAAGTAAGTTTTTTTAAGTTATGTTTTGGTACTTGGCTACATTACGCATTAAGCTGGCATATGCACAATGGTATCAACGCAACGTCGACCTGCACAGCGATTGCAGACTCCCGACGATTCGCAAATATTTTAAAGACCTGACCAAACGGTTCTTCGATAGAGCCGAACATCATCCCAACCCTCTGGTGGTAAGCGCAGCAAATTACCAACCCAACACAAACGCGAACGTCAACAAGCGTCGCCCGCGAAACGTCCTCATCGACCCGGTCGAGGAAGGGGACTTTGATACGCCGGACCCACCGCCGGGGGTCCCGCCGGACAACACTACACCCACAGTTAGTGCAACAACAAACATACTAGTTCGCCCTCGCCTCCGAGCACGGCGAGACCAGCACAACGCGTACACAAGGTACACCCGCGTTCCGGGGCGGTTCTCACCGCTCCCAGCCACCGATTAGCTAATTGCACAGTCGACGGCCATCGGTGTTTCGGTCCGAACCACGACCTCGATGGCCCTTAGATGACACACCATACTTAAACGCACGCATGAGCACATGCGTGGCCCTACCCACAGCGGAGGGCCCAAACCCGTGGGTTCTGGCTAGCCCACCGGTTCTGCGTCAGATGAAGCTTTAATAGTCTCGGCAGGACTGAAAGCAAAAACATCAGTTAATACAAGATAATAAAAAAATGAATGAGGTTAATAAATGAATGAGTAAATAAAAATAATATGATTTAATTGTCTTATATATGATAAAGTGGAAAAAGAGCAGCATTGAATTAAATTAATCAAATAAATGCAATGTACATTATTATTAAATTGTACGTCGTAAATGGAGTTAGTTATAAAAATATGATTAATTTACACTGGCCGTTACGTAAGGTTTGGTACATTAGGATTTTGATATAGATATAATAAGTATAGATAATCAGTGTGATACATTAATGGACTGTAATCTGATTTATCCAATGTATATTAATGGTAGCCATTCAATTTAAGACCATCTATTTAATATATTACTCCCCCATCCTTTCTTGATTTTACTTTTTTCATTTTTTGTACTAACTGACTCGACGGCAACTTGCAACGTTTATTTGTTTATATATTATATATAACCACATATTTATTAAATTTATATAGCTCTTAATTGATTATACGTACGCTTGATGAAAAATGTTCACATCGGCTGTACGTTTAACACAATTGGTGTATTCTCTAATTAATCTAATACTTTACTCAAAAGTCAGAACTGTTTAAAAACAGTCTTTAATTTATAATATTCACATCTATTCCACTTTCTAATGGAATACATCTGATAGCTTATGTCACATAATATCCTTTGTAAACAAACCAAGAAACACACATTTGCAATTATGATATTGGCTGAAATTATTACACAATTTTTTTGTTACTACCCGTTTACTAGTGGGCGGCTGACTATTGTTTATTTTTGAGAGAAAAAAAAATGAGGTCAAGTATTTCGAAACATATTCAGTGTAAATAAATACCCGATTATACTATATGGGAGGTCATCCCTGAGTCTATAAATGTTATTACTTGTTTTGCTCGATTTTGGTGCTAATAATAAAATAATATAACAATTAAGATGAAGGTTATTCACTGAGCAATGACACGAGTATTTTCCTTGACTGTAACAACCCGAAAGTTTCTACACCATAGATAACGTATGTACTAAAAATGTGACATGGTTGTAATCAACTACAAATTCAGATGCAATGTTCTCTTGACGTAATTAGGTCCGTGAAGAGTCCCAGAGTCCGATGCAGTATGCTTAATTCTACATAGATACGACTAGACACGAAATCATTATAAAAAATTGGAAAAACTTTTTATAAGTTAAAGGTCTATGACGATTTTTTTAACGTGTAAAGTTGGCAAGCGAGTAGGTTGTTCACATGATGTTAAATGAATACCGCCGCCCATGGACATCTGCACACCCTGATTGCAGGCTTTCTGATTCGGTGAAAAACTTTAAAATGTGGGCCCCGGTTACCTCAGTCGGCAGACGAAAGGCGAAAGTTCAATACTTCCTCTTCACGTCGGTTTTCTTTGAGGCCGTGGTACTTCCCGGGACGAGCCTGCCCATTCGTACAACAGCAGAATCTGTTGCGTGGCCCTACAGAATTAAGATTCTGTTTTTCACGATACAATAACATATTGCATAAATATTTATATAAATACTGCATATTATTTACAGTTGTATTACATCTAAAATAAGACATTTTTTTTTTCAAAATTTTAATTAATATCCATATCGCTATAAGTATGATAATTTATCTTATTTTGAACATGGAATTCTATAGCTATATACATTATTAGTTATATTAAAAGCCTTCATTTGAATGACCCTCCCCCAAACTTGCGTACGTAACGTACTTGAGTGTCCAAGCAGACCACAAGAAACCTGAATTTTTTTTATATGTTGCTCGATTTATTTATCCTATTTTGCAGGCATGGCCGTTTGCCTTTCAACACGGGGGCTCGTTGAGCTGCGCGGTTTCTCAAAGATGGAGTCTAAACAATCAGACCGGTGACCCGTCTAACGTAAACAGTAGAAACAACAATTCCCAAGTGCAGCAGAATCAAAACGGTGCTTGCAACGACACTTATGGTCAAGATTACTCCGAGAACGACTACGAAGAGAGAGGCTATGAGGAGATGAACGACACACCCGGTGATCAAGTGCAATATTGTAACTACGGCTATAAAGACAGCTATTATGAAATGCGAAATCATCAATGCGATGTGCTGATGAATAACGCGTGACTAAGCGGAATTCGTCAATTGATAATAGACATAAAATGTTTTCTTGCATTTATGTATAATTGGATCAAGTTTGGTTAATAAATTTTTATATTTACTTATTTACATACATTATTATCATTAGGCATTCAATGAGTGAAAATTATTTTGAATTTCCGACTTTTTAAATATTTTGCAGCAGTTACAGTAGGAACAAACCATATATGCTTCACTGTTCGAAATGTCGACAATTTAAATTAAACGCGAAGAAATGCCCAAAATAGTTTAACTAAATAACCTTTAGATTTTGATTGTGTAGATAATTATCCTACGCTTATCTTTATAATAGTAGAAAGTTCCATGTATGTTCCAAATGCGTCTTTTTTCCTGTTTTTAATGAAATTACATTTGCATAGCATTGAATGGATGGTTTCGAGAAATAAACTTATTATACTTCAAAGGTTATTTCACATCAAATTCTAAGATATGAAAGTTCCGTCACCGTGAGTGGCGGTAACCGGATAGTTTCGCAAAGTCGGAGACCGCTTTGACACTCAGTAGAATCTGACAAAACAAACATGAACATATTTGCCGGCAAAAAATATCCTGCGCCCCGCAAAATCAACAATGTTTTATGCTCGCTTTCATTTGTCTCTGAGTTTTCGTTATAACAGAACGGCCAGAATGTAATGTTAAGTATGTAAAACTCAGAATCGTTTTATGCCTCAACTACACGTCTTTTACATTTACGTATCTTTTGTGAAAAGAGAGCTGCTACGTCTAATATAGTCATAATAACAGTTCTTGCTGCGAGGATGCGCTGCGTCCACTAAGAAATACTGTTCATGCAGTTCGATTATGGAACTCACTCCCACCGATAATCAGGGAATTTAAAACTATATCGATTTTTAAGAAAAGAGTTAAGGATCACTACCTTTCCTTGGCAGTATAAATGCGACATATATATTTATATATTTATTTACTTATTTATGTATATATATGTATGTATGTATATGTATGTATGTATATGTATGTATGTATATGTATGTATTTATGTATTTATATATATTTTATTTTAGTAATGATATCATATTTATAATTATTGCATATACGTGTATTTTAATTGATGTATGTACACAATTAACTACCATCTGTAACCAATTTCCAGTCACAGGTCTGCTGGAAGAAATTTCTTATGAAATAAGCAGGACCTTTGTACAAATTATTTCATGTATTTACATCTCTGCCATAACTCTGTGTACATAAATTATAAATAAATAAATAAATAAATAAAGTAAATGCCGCAACTTTACAGAGGACAGACGTGAAAAAAGAGCTTATACTTTTTCTTTTCGTTTGGTAAATAATCTAAATAGCCTTGAGCGCGGGCAAAGAGTGGAAGCTATAATAAAGGTAACGTTTCCACGAGCTTCACAACCCTACCTATGTAGAGTTACACATGTGGACATGCATTAACGAAATAAGAGGACTATCGGCTACGCTCCGTGCATGCCGCTGGTGACATCGATCGTCTCTGTATTATTCTTACGCTATGATCAGTGAGTAGCGCCCCGGGACGCGGTTGTACCTTGTGTACGCAGTATGTTGGTATCATCGTGCTCAGTCGTGGAAAAACTAAAGTGTGAGCATTGTTGTCGGGCGGGATCACTAACGCGTCCTTAACACTTTCGTCCCCTTTCTTGAACAGATCAATGAACGTTACATGCACGATTCTGTGTTGCAGCATTTTTGATGCTGCGTTTCTCTGGGCGGCTGTCCTGACCTACCATTATTTTAATTTTATTTATTTCCTTTTTTTGAAAATACCCTTATAAAGGGGTTATACAAGGCGGACTTTACGCCTATTGGCATTCTCCACCAGTTCACCCGGGGCGTCTGGAGAAATCGTGGTAGATACGTAAAATCATTACAGATTTCAGACACATAAATTCATATCGTAATGACTGCTATAGTTTAATTTCAATACGAAATCATCTTGATGTTAAGTGATAACCACCACCCATGGCCATTTGCAACACCTATAGCGTTACAGAAGGTTGCTTACACACAAGAAGAAATGCAGAAGTGTACACTTCCACTTCACGTCGGTCTTCTGTGTGGCGGTGGTAATTTCCCGGACGGACCTGCCCATTCGTGCAACATTGAAGACTGTTGCGTGACCCAACGACTGCCGTTTTTTTAAGTTTTCCCTTACTGTATTGTTATGTATGGAAGTAGTGAAACGCTTGCTGGTTAGTAACGCACTTCTTTAATGTCGCATATTCACAAGTACTGTGGGCGCAGCCACAGATAATGTATACATACACAACATGTATGATAATATTATCCTGTGTTGAAAGGACGTTTTACATACATAAATTTCACGTGGATAAGCGGCCGGATCAGAAACAATTGTCTGTGGGTCATACAAATAGTTGTCCCGTGTGGAAATCGAGCCCGAAGACCCTCCTGAGCCAATTTAACTCCTCCCGCCTCCTTCCACAATCAGGCAGCCAAGTCTTTATAACTACTTACTCCATCAGGTACCATCATACCTTATATAACCTTGATAGTGGGATGATATTCAAGCACTGGCTAGTGTTTCATGAATAAAATAGGGAAATTTAAATGGCGTAGTCAATAAAAGAAATATACAGCTGGTGAAAACTTTATTACGCATATATAAATATTATATTGTATGTATGTATTATGCCAGAGCACGCTAAAAAGAGTAATTTCAAATATTTACAACAAATTATAATGTAACTTAAGCGAGGCAACGTTTTGGTAAAGTTTGTTTTTTTAAATATTAATTATACTAAGTTAAAACTAAAGCGATGGTGATATAAATGTCAAATATATTCTTAAACATTTTCATTAAACTAATCATATGGGTAAAGTGGCAGTAGCACAGTGGTTGTATATGAGACAAAGAAAACTTATTAAAACTTATAAACCTTCTAAGACACGTGAATTTTCCCTTTATGTGAATGTTCCTTCGATATTTTTCAGTTCATTCATTTTACTAAGCGATTGTCACCTTAAATATACGCTGTTAAAAATTATCCGCTATTTTCCATAGCTTGCTAATATAAACATTTTGGACAACAGCTTAATCTGTATTCTGATGCGTGTATTACATATGAATATAAAAACTAATACTAGTTCAAACGCACTTGACACTACGCATACATTCGAGGACAGACGAATCAAATTCTCTCTGTCCAAATAACACATTTTCTTATTGATCAGTGAATTAATTAACATACTATTATCTGTGAGACAAAAAAGAACAACTGAGCTTATAAAAAACCATCGATCGATTTCTGGATTCTGTTACAATGCATTTTTTCATACAACTAAATAACTAACAATAATTAATCTAAGTAATTTGAACAATGTAGAATTTTCTCGAGACAAGTGACAGTTTTTGTTATATAATGTTATATCATGTTATATCATTTTTATGTCAGAAAAGGGACATTTGCAACACCCGTGGGGTTGCAGATGCATTGCTATCTTTTAATAAAGTGGGCCCCGGTTACCTCACACACCAGAGGAAACGCAGAAGTGTAACACTTCCACTACACGCTGACCCGGGACGGACCTGCCCATTAGTGCAACAGCGAAGACTGTTGCGTGGCTTTACCAGTGAAAATATTGTCTTGTAATTGTTCACATTATTTGTATTCAATTCACTTAAATTAACTGATTCGATTTAAAGTTAATGCATTATTTGGAAATTTTCAATGTATTCTTTGTCACTGTTAATTACGCGTGCCCTTGCTTGAAAGGTAGATTACAAAATGACGATCTAATGTTAAAGAAAGATAATTTACTGGGCGTATACTCGTATTTGAAACGTTTAAATTAGGGATGAAAACGTTCACGTTACGGATGATCCAACCATAGCAAAGATAGCTTAGCTTTGAACAGAGTTTTCCATGTAGACTTTTTACACGTTTCACTGATTTTGTTTGCCTCAATAGATTATTTAAATTGGATTCTTTCTCCTAATAAAGAAAAAAATAGAGTCACTTTCAATATAATGACTTATACAAAAAGAAACACAATTATAAATTAAATATGTGATTATAAGTTAATGTGTCAATGAGTACAATATTCATCGCCTAGCAACCCTGGACTACTCCACTGACCAATAAGAAAAGGCATCATCACTCAAGCTTATTTACCGAAATCCTGTATTATAATATCCAATATAGTATACGTTATAATAAAATATTATCATCTACCACGTTTTTGGTAGTCTCCTAGCTTCTTATATAACATAATTTATATTTAAGCTTTTATTTTCACTTGATCATACGATACATTCAGTCGTGCGGAGGACCCACACAATCGAAGCATTCTTTCGTGGGACTTTTCCTTACGTAATATTTACTAAAACGCCGTTAATGTAAATTCACGATTTTGATATCATATCGTGATATCATCACGAACTATAAAGTTATAATAATTGATTGCATAAATTTAATTCACGAACAGAAACCCCTGTTCATTTATATATTCGAAAACTTGACAAGTTTCGAAAAAATTAAAAAAAAAAAACTTTTTCATTGAATTTATATTACATAAGTCTTTCGGAGATGGAATCAGGACTTGATGTACTTTATATTCATTCATACTTCTATTGCAAAAAGCCACTTCCCGACGTTTTTAAAAAACCTTGTTTTTATTACCCTTGTGTTTGTTAAAAATGGTATTGTTACTAAGATCTTTACGACTAGCGGATACGTTTTAAATATTCGGGACTTCTAGGACAACGATTTTTTCCAACTTAAATTCGATAATTCTCTGCTGTTTTAAATAGATAAGTCAATTGACGAATTATCTTCTGTTACTTAAGTCAAATATACTATTTTTTATTTACTGCTTGACTAAACAGTACGATTATAAAATAAGTGATTAAAAAACTGTAATTTATTTACGATTTTACTATGGATTTCATCAGATCCTTGAACTAAAGGTTCCGATGGGTGAATGACCGTACGAAGCACAAAAATCTATTATATTAAGGCTGTAATATCACAACCACACGTAAATAGATCGAGAAAAAAAATTACTTTAAATAAAATACGCTTGAATCTCAGCGCACAAATACTACTGACATTTGTTTTAATGTAGTAAACGTACAAACAAATGTGATATGCGTTGTGATACTGCTAATGCAATGGCAAAACATTGTTTTATTACAATAGAATATATTACACTAATAACGAAAAAAAAAATTGAAAGAGTTTTTTTTTTAATTAAAGCTAATGAATTGTCTATAGAACGGGGCGCGTATTTATTACTTTTAAAATTTCAATGTCAATTCAATCTAAGAACGTAAGATATGTTACATGATTAACAAATAATAATAAATTTTCTATGACTGTTAAAACAGGATTGGGCCATTAAATGACAGATTGTGGCACCAAAAACTTTCAAACCTAATAGCTGCAATTAATATTACTCGAAAAACAATTATTGCTATATTTTAAATAATAACTATTAAATATTATTAATCTAAGCATTATATATAAGAAAAAGAGTTCATATAATTTTGAACAATACTTCTACGGCAAATACATTATAAAATATTTTTGGCAACTACTATACATTTGAAATTCCATTATATGGACAGTGACGAAATAAAAAATAATTTTCTAACTTTTAAACAGTTCTTTTTTATCCGTTAAGACAGATATTTGTAAAATTAATTTAACTTTTTGATATCAGAACGAATGTCCATATCTTAGCTGTCTGGTGAGAAATTAGAATGATCAATTAAATGGATAGCGATATTTTAAATGGAACAAAAAGAATAGAAGTTATATCATAGAATTATTGCCAAATAAAAATATTGAAAGCTGATAAAATCTGAACAAGAATTAAAAATTATTTTTCAATTGCCACATTACCAACATCTAGACATGTGTAGTGTACCCATATTATATTGGAGAATAGATTAACGCTTAAGTGTTAACGCGATAATTTTTAATTATTAACATTATTCTATTCTGTAGTTTTATAAAAATGAGCTAATTTATTGCATAAATTACCATTCCTCGAAATCGAATACTCAATCAATGAATAAGCCTTTACTCCAATCATCCATTCTTTTCAGCGGCTTTTTGATATCAATTCAGCGTGTATATTTTATCTTAAAGCTAGCACAAAATACCAATATGTCCGAATGCAACTCGAATTAGCAAATGTGTTTGTTCCGTTACGTCATTTCTTTATTACAGTCTGTTTAATATGGTTTTTACGCGGGATATTGACATTGACGTACAAATATGGATCTCGTATATGAAGTTCCGTATAATTTTAAACAAAATCTACTTCTTCTTTGATTAATGGCCTCTCTTAAAAGAATTCTGCCAATGTCATGTCTTTTAACAAAATATGTACGTGTATGTAAACACAATCTGATTTCGTAATGTCACTTTAATTTATTAATGTCAAATTAATGTCAATGTGCCGCGTATCATCGTATATTTTAACAAACTGTAAGTTACTTCAAAATAAGTTTACTCATAAAATACCTTTGATTGAATTACATATAAAATTACAAATTGTGTGCCTCCAGGCTGGTATTATAATACAATATAATATAAAGTAACACAATTGCTATTGACGTGCTTTTTCCGTATTATGTACTGCGTGTCGGATATCGTTTGACAAAATCGTTATCGTACAAAAACTTAACGGTATTTTTAATTACCTTTCTTTAAAAGCCAGTATTTTTTTATAATACAGCCTAAATAATTTCCTATTTTTAAAGAATATGCTAAAAGAACGTATCATACTTACGTCCCTATCGACTTAATATGATTAAAATATGAGAATTCCCTGTACAATGTCTTTTAATATGAATGAGAGAGCATACACAAATATTTATAATCGAAGCAGAATTGCGGAATTGCAGAATCTGAGTCTGTTTTAAAGAAAAATGCTTTTCCTACATTCTGAAGCGCGAGTACCCGTTAACTATTATCAACTCTAAATACATTTTAGACAATTTTTATTGAATTATTACGTTTCCCTTACATTTCCAAAATATATTGTTGAAACTTAGAGGGATTAAAACAGGCCAAACTATTGCGTCTCTTCAAAAACGTTGGTGCCAATATTTCGTAGCTCAAGGGATGTGTGTGAGGATTATTCACAGTCCAGAAACTTAGCAGAGCTATCAAGATCGGTTTCGACAAGAGAGAGAAGACTCGGTTCTGGAAAAAAGCCTTGCATCGAACTATGGTAAGATCGTCTACTCGTGAGTGAAGTGTTTGTGAAAATGCAAGTCTTCGTGCACAACTTAGAGAAAAAATTCGATGAATGAAGTGTATGTGAATGAGGCGAAGACTTCTTTCTATCAACATACAGACTTCGCGCGACCCTTACTAAAATGCTCCATGATCTGCCAGAATTATCGCTAAAATTGAAGAAAAATTTAAATTAAAGAAAAATGGGATAGATAATTTTTCTCCGATGTAGCCAGGATATGTGTACAGTAAAGAAATTTTTTAAAAAGGCGTGTCTTGAAATGATCACACCATGTTTTGAGATGCAACAGATCTGTTTTACAAAGGCGTTTCCTGAAAAAATAACATCATGTTGTTGGAGGCTCTGTTATGTTTTGAGGGGTAATAAAACATGATTCGAACAGGTCAAACTATGCTGGATGATCTATCCTTATTGTTATCATTGGCTCATGGCGAACTCTATTTTTATAGAGTTCAACGCCGACTGGCTGACGGTTTGGAAAAGTATAAACGCCGGAATGCATCACTTGGATTGACCAGCTCTAGGTAGAGACACATATTGCTCTCCCATAGAAAGTTCTGAAGCAACGAAGTAAGCTAAAGAATGATTAACGGGGATTATCGTGGCCAAACGAATGCCAGTTATGATTCCAACAATAGACTGTCAAAACAGTGTTAAACCTACACTTCACTAGAGGCTTTTCACTTTAATATAGAAAACAAATAAGAAATCGTGTCTCAATTTAACTTATAGATTTCTTTGTATATTTCTATTTCTGATTGAATTAATCAAGTGTTATGATTAAAATGAAGAAAAATATTACTCGCTTATAATTATGCCAAATCCATAACAAAGAAATAGTAACAATAAAATTGGCTTTTGTATAGTTGCCCTTTCTTCTTGCAAAAGAGTGTATAAACCAATAAATAGTTTTACGGTACCTAATTCGACTTAACGCTAGTTACATTAAGGTGTAAATTGTTTACATGAAACTACTAAGCAACCGACAAACCGCCTTTTTCTTGTAGGTCGTATAAATGTGTTAAAATAATTGAACATCAATCAATTTAAATTAAATAAATTCAAGTAACGCAATTATGGCGTTTTTATTTACTTTTTTTTTAATTATTGTTTTATTTAGCTTGGTAGGTATATATATATATATATATATATATATATATATATATATATATATATATATATATATATATATATATACCACCGCGACAATAAATGAACACACATATAGATGATAATTTTTTAAAATTGTATTAAACATTTACATTCTTTAAAAATCAATATTTAAGGAGTTATTAAATTTTCCAAAACAAAGAATTTTAGAAAACCCTTACCGCTAAAACTGTAGCATAAAGTTCATTTGTAAAGGTCACAAAGCATATAATAGACAAAACATACTGTTAGAAGGAGAGGCTTGTAATACGACGCTGTGGTGCGAGTTGTATAGGATGTTACAAATTTTGTTTCTTTTTTACTTAATTAGTTTGTTTGAAAAATATTTTTTTTTAAATTATGAATTTTGTTAAAAGTTAATATTTTTTTATGATTATTGGCAAGTAGCGTTAGACGTGTGTTAATTTATTGTCGCGATGGTAACGACACGCTGTATATATATTCATTTCATCACGGAAAGTATAAAAGTAATCATGATTGACATAAATTAAGATAAAATACTTAAAACAATGTTTAATCAAAACTAGGTTAAGTTATTAATTAACGGTAAATAAATTCGTAACGTAGAAATTTCTTTGTGATGTATGCTTAAGGCGGCGATTTGTCCATTGTTATATAACATACAGTTTTAATATTTGTGCGTACAGGCTGGATATATGAACAAGAACGGTACACAAGCCTTCCGTAAAAGCTTACTCACGACGCTGAAATGTAAATAAAATAAAAAATAATTTATTCCTATAAACCATAGATTCAGTCCCATCACTACAACACTACATTGAACAAGTCGAAGTAAAAATTCATACATACTCTAAAATAATTTACATTAAATTATTCCCGCTCTAACACAAACAAGACAATGTGCTTGTAGAGAAAATGAAAGAAGAAAATTAAATCAACAGCATGAAAAAAGAAATTAACAAACGCAATATCAACATTAAAAGTGCATTACGACGTTCATAAAAAAAACCATTTCAAAAATAGAACGCGAGTCGTGATTTAAATTTCTCAATATTTATCTACCCGTTGATTCTGGCTGATATTTTTTTTTCTTTTTGACGTCCAAGAAATTAAAAATAAAACCACGCGTGCCGATGGACGGCGACGCCGCGGGAAAATAAGGTACAGCCGTGACCATGTCGCTCACCGTCCGAAACAGCTCGTAGGTGGAACTATCTCCCCGAGAATATGCTGATAGAGTTGGACGTCGTCCTTTTGCGGACCAGCGTGGCTTCGACTGCAAAGGGAAGTTCGGTTTGGTTGGCGTACAAACACAGATACAAATACAACACAGATACAGAAGTAAAAAAAAAAGTTAAATATCTGCCTATACATGTCCCACGGCTGGGCAACGGCCTCCTATGTACAGAGGATATTAGGGCATAGTCCACCACGCGGCCCCACTGCGGATTGGCAGGCTTCATATATCTTCGACATATTTTTTTTATTATTTCGAAAATATGCAGGTTTCCTCACCGTATGTATTCCTTCACCGCTGAGCACGTGATAATTCATACAATATACTTGAGCGACCTGAGTTCGATCCCCGGTGCCGGGGGTAAAGTAAATAAAATAAAAAAATAAGCATTGTAGGTATAATATGACAGTCAGGCGTTCCGAATGGGCAGTCTCGTTCGGGTACGTACCACTGCCTACTTATGTTACGTATTATACTTTTGCTTTCGTCTTGTGAGCGAGGCAACTTGAGTCCACTGTTTTAGGGTTCGGTACCCAAAGGGTAAAACGGGACCCTATTACTAAGACTCCGTTGTCCGTATCTCATGTACCGTGATAGAGTTGAAATTTTCACAGATAATGTATTCATATTGCCGCTATGACAACAAATACTAAAAAACAGATTAAAACAAATTTACTAGGGCTCCCATATAACTGACATGATTTTTTTTTTTGCGTTTTTATAGATAATGGTACGGAACCCATCGTGCGCGAGTCCGACGCGCACTTGGCCGGTTTTTCAGTTTTTAAAGGTTGACAAAGCATCTGCAATCGATCTGCGTCCGGCCTTGTCAGCTGAAACGTGAACTTATAAAAAGTACCATCTGCTATTGCAATAATGGCAGTCTAGTCCGGGGAAGTCCCGGATGCACAGGTATTCTTCAACAACGGTAATTACTTAACATCTAGTGAAACATTTGCTACACATCTTCTTCCATAAAAAGCCAGCCAGTACGTAAATGACAAATGTATGCGTGAAGTTATGCCTCTAGTTTCTTTGCCAACCAGTTAACCAAAACGTCAATATCATGCACCAAGACATTTAAGACGTATAATGCCTGTCGTTTTTAATTCTATATACTCAAACAACCAGAGTTCAAATCTTGGTGCGGGACACCATTGAAATTGTTAATATCAATTTTAAGCACCGACTTATCACATGCTCAGCGGTGAATGACGACACCTACATGAACCAGAATATTTTCTAAATAATAACGAAAAAAATATTTCGAAGTTATGTGAAGTCTGCCAATTTGCAGAAGGGGTCTTTGCGGTAATACTCTTCGTACAGAAGCAGCCTTTTCCCATTATAGGGACATATACAGAGGGCTTTTCTAAGTGTATCAATTTTTTATATTAAATTCTAGACATAAATAAACTTATACAAAAATTGATAAATATTTAAAATCACTCGTAATTAATTAATTACATTTTTTTGAACATATCTCAGAAAGTGCGTGATAGATATATGGGCAACTCATTTATTTTACGCGCGATCATTCATAACTATCACGCACACTAGTTCGTTTCAAAAGTATCTGCTTATACATATTCTTCAAGTTTGTTTTTATTTCAACATTTATTTAAACGATTATATTACTGAAATGAGTCAGAACCACCAGTTCTGTATGAATTTGGGAACCTTTATAAAAGCCACCCTGTATAGTTTAAGATCGTTAACTTTTTATTCACACCGATTTCTCGTTTCGTTTAATTTCATTTGACAGACCATGACCCGTGTCACGTCACTAGCTGATGTATACGACAAACAGCTACGTAAGGCTCTAATAAACTCTAATGGTAACAAAATGAATTCCAAAACGAGATGGTAAAATTTTAAATCAGCGGTGATATATTGTGTAATTGTTTGCCATGCAAATTATTATTATTACCATCGTTTAAAAAATTGACACTGGCTCGTTGGTCTTAAAAATTTGTACGTTTCGTCGACAGTTCAAAGTGACGATGAAAACACTGCTAGTCAGCCCTCTTATATGTTAACACGAAATTATGAAATTAATTATTAATTATTATGAAGTTGACAAAGCACCACTACTAGTCCAATACGCATTTTTATAGTGATAATTTACCAATTTAGTTATGATACATTGCTTTTTTCGATTAATAATTAAATATAATAAAATAAAACTTTACTTATTAACTATTAATAAAACTGTTGCACGAATGGGCAGTTCCGTCATGGTAAGGGTGAGTACCACAACCTCATAGAAAACCAGCGTGTAGTGGAAGTGTTATACTTCTGCGTTTCGTCTGGTGAATGAGGTAGCCGGAGCCCACCTTGTTTTTTCAAAAATTATGAGCCTAGGTGCATGGCATCGAACCGCCATGCCAAATCTGTATAAATAAAACGATAGCTATCTGTCCGTATCACGGAAAAGCTACGGAATGGGTTTCAATTAATTGTTTCAAGTTTTATTTCTAACACTTGAAGATATCACCATATTTCTTTAGCTGACGGTGTCTGCTAGCTATCGTATACACACCAGTGGAGTCCTGTGGGGTCAGGGGCCGCTTGATGGTTTTCTGGATAACTGCCAGCCAGCCAGCTCTCTCCTCGTGGGTGGTGGCGGCGAGGCAGTAAGTCCGCTCCGGCGTCACCACGTGGAACGGGAAGCGGGCCTCCTTGCAACCGTTGCCAGTGTTCGATACCCGAATGCAGTAGCCGTTCGACTCGTGACCTGTAGCGATCACACGCGCAACGAAATTATCGATTGGCTCAAGATATATATATCTATATCTGTAGCGGTCAAGGAGTTTACCGAGTGGCTGAAAGTAAAGATGTATGCGTACATAGCGTAAGCGTAAGAAACAAAAATAACTCAAAATAAACCGTTCGCCGTTGCTCTTTGTATGTGAAATAAAACATTTAATGGATTCAATAACGGTGTAATTAAAATTATAGGTGAATGTCAAAAAGTTGTTGCCATGGTAACACCATGAAGTTGGTTTTGCTTTTAGGTGACGCCAAAAAACGTAAACGTAGTGATTACATTCTCTTTGGGTGACGCTATAACATGACATTGTAAAAAGCATATAGTAGGAGACAAATCCTATTTCTGGATATTTTTTGTGATCAATATACGCAGTAAGTAGTACACAGCTATATACAAAATTGAATCATCAGCCGAAGCGGATGATGGAATTAAGTACAAAGCTGAAATAAACAATTCTGTTGATGAGTGAAGTTCTTCCGTGAAACATTCTCAGTACACTCCACATTATTTGCCCCACTCCACATTATGGGCCCACATTATTAAGAGGTGGCAACGCATCTGCAAGCCTTCGGGTTTTGCAAATGTCCATGGGCAGGCGGTTATTACTTAACATCAGGTTAACCGCCAGCTCGTTTGCCACTTCATCACATAAAAAAACACTATTTACAAGAAGAGTTAATCCCATACACCCAAGAGTCAATCACATGCACATAGTTTAAGCCATACACACGCTTGAAAGCACAAAGGGCCCACCTATGAAGATCTCGCCTTTGGGGTACGCGTCGAGCGGCTCGTCGTGGTACATCAGCTTCCTGTTGTCCAGCGTGAACCAGCGGCGCCGGTGGGCGTCCGAGGGCCTGGGCCCCGTCTTCCAGAGCCAGCCCTCGCGCGCGAAGTCCCTGGGCAGCCGCAGCACCAGGTCCGACTGGGGCGTCGAGGGGAACGCGACCTGGAGCAGGTGGAGCTTCGCGCAGCGGATGGCCATGTACCTGCGAAGGTTCCGGAGGAACTGGTGTGGATGATCGGAGGGAAACATTTCACGACCCCGTGACCTTGACCGTTGGAAACGGTTCTAGAGGACGGGTTTAAAAATCGAATTAAGACTTTGTATGTAAGAATAGCGATCCGTCCCTGCTTCGCACGGGCGCATTGCATTGTACATATGAACCTTCCTCTTTAATCACTCTATATAATAAAAAAACCGCATCAAGATCCGTTACGTAGTTTTAAAGATCTATATATATAGCATACATAGGGACAGACAGACAGCGGAACGACTTCGTTTTAAGCTATGTTGTGCTTAGTGAAGATGGCAAGCGAGTTCACGATTCATCAGAAGTTAAGTATTAATCACCGCCCATGGACATTAGCAAGACCCGTAGGGTTACTGATGCGTTGCCATGTTTTAATAAAGTGTGCTACCCCACTCAGCAGACGAAATGCAGAAGTAGGACACTTCCACGTCACGCCGGTTTTCGGTGAGGTCGTTATACTTTCCCGGATGGACCTGCCCATTCGTGCAACAAAGGAGACTTTTGCGTGGCCCTACCGCAGTTAAAATGTTTAATACTTATACTCCATTAGATTGTGATTTGAAAACAACCAAAATTTCAGTTTTTCATCAGACGATACCGGGGCAGGTTATACTATTAAAATATTTGTAAATTATATAATCGGCCATTTCAATTAGAACTGGCCGATTTACATTTTTTAATATAGAACACATAACACCAGATCAGGTAAACCGTCAACTCGCTTAACACCTTCTCACAAAAAAAGAAACTGAATATTTTGTAATTGATTTATCATATAATAGCACTCATAATTTCGTGAGTATTGCGCCGTAAAATGTATTAATTTTTCTTGCCAAATTCTCCAGGCATGACCCAAAAATATTGATACTTGTGATTTTTTATTTGATTTTTAGTGCTATTCTTCCCAGCACTTTTGATGTCAATTAAAACGTGTAGATAAATTGTTGAAAACTTTATCGCCTTTGTCAGGATTCGAACCAACAACCAACCTTTCGCACAGTGTCCAGGCTGTATAACCACTAAGCTAAGCGGTTGATGATATCCTCAACGCGCGATAATCTCGACGTCTTATCTTCTTTGGTTTTATTGAATTTTTAGCAATTCATGGCGCCACGAATAAATTGTTAAAAATAATTGACATTTATTGTTAAAAAGTATGCTTACGATACTTTAAGTGATAACGAAACTTTTGAATTAGTCAACGCTATTTTAGGAACGTATGCTTACGTTAATAAACTTTATTTTTTTACGTAAAAAGTGAGATCATGAAGATCAAACTTAAATATTACCAAGTATCCAATTCACAACACATTTGGAGTGTAGTACTAGACAAATTATGATATAGTACCTTGTATTCCCCAGACTAGGCTTCACCTACTCTAAAATTTTTCTAAAATCAAGAATTTTTCAGGTTAAAGAATGAGTTGAGCACCAAGAAACTATATGTTAAAGAAAATGTGAAAATGCACAATAATTATAAAAGGTGAATTTGTGTGTGTGCGCGCGCGTGTGTGTGTGTGTGTACTGTGTATGCGTGCATGCCTTTTTGCATATATTTGAATGCATGTACGTGGTCGAGCGTGCGCGTGCGTATGTGTGTATATGTGTGTTAATGTGTGTTTTTGTGCGCTTCGTGAATTTAGTATATGAGCGTACACGGACGGGCGGATATTTACCAGCAGTTGATGACCTCCGGATCCTCGTGGTACACGTAGATATGCCTGGTGGAGCCGTCCTTCATGAAGGTCAGTTGCATTGAGTTCATGTGGCCTATCTTCGCGGGCGCGAACGCAACGTTCAGCTCCGACAGTCTGAGCACGCCTTTCGGTTCCTTGTTTTCTTTCCACATGGTACCTGAGGCGAGGAGCGATTACGACTTTAAGTCAGCCGGAGACACGGAAAGTTCACTGTTTGTTATTGTAGTACGGATGCATTGATGACGTCACTAATGATAATGATGTTATTGTGATCCCGAGCAATCCCAAGCGACATTAAAATGGTGCGAAACAGCGTTCGAAAAATATTTAGACGGACACAATCGTACAAAATGGACCCCTAAGTGAGGCGCGATAATTGTGCGAATAAAAGAAAAGTAACGCAAAGTAACGTACGCAACAGGATGTTTTTGTTTTCGGTCTTTCGTATGGGGGGGCGCAGAACGAGTGATCTCGTTCGGATGGACATTCGGGTCACGGACACGTCAATAGGCAACCGTAATTTCAATTTGAACTCTCACACTCTTACCTCCATCGAGCAATGTTTTTGAGACGGAGCCGATCGAAAAAGCGACCGATACAACCCGTGGCACGGCCACAGTCGTCACAAGGGTGGTGGTACCTAAGGACCAGGCCGGATAAGTGTGAGCCAAACTCAGGACAGTTCATTCCAAGGTATCACGACGTAATTTTGACACATGCCCTATAATTTCTCAACGCAAACGCAGCCCCGGAGCAGAGCTGAATGATATCGCCGTCCCACTGAGCCGGTGACGTCATTTAGCGCGAGGTTTGTTTTGAACTTCTTTAAATACACCGATAATATGCTGCAAACGGCCGCGGATAATCTGTTAAATACTTTGTTTACATGCGCGTCGTGTGCTGTAATCGGGTTGACTCTGATACGATTATAAAGTGCAGTTAAGCATTTCGAGCATAATTGTATCAATGCTTCGTTTTAAATAGGTTTCTTAAATTTTATTCTTATATTCCGCTTTAATACAGTAATTAGTAGACGTAAGTTAGAATAACAATATGAAGAAAATCTATTCTTGTACAAAATTGAAAATGGCGCAAATAACAGATAAATTGAAATTAGCGTGGTGTTAGATGTCTAGAACAGTAACCAGTTGTCATCAGATGAGAAGCACGCGTCCTCAGTAAGGCAGTGTCTGTATTATTATCATTATAATATACGATTTATTTGATACTGTTTTATATATATTATAATATTATTATTGAAGTTAAATGTCTTGGGGATTTCTTCACATACATAGACAATTAGACATATACTTTTAGGTAGTTTATTTAATTCAAATTATTTCGTTTGACTACAGGTAAATACCGTATCTTAGAATTTATCTTTTTTATGACTTCGAAAAACGGTTTAAACAAATCTTACTTCGAATAAAGAAATTTTGATTTGATTTGATTATGCCGTTTGATAATAAGAAATATCCGAAATTGAGGCCTCAGATCGACGATGCGTAGTAACTGTCACATTCGTTGGGGACGTCACAATGGCGTACGTCATGTCTATACGAAAAAAATCATGTATTTCGCAACGAAACGCTAACGACATTTAATGTAAATGTTTACCGAGGTTATTAAGACGGGCGCGCGAAAAAACCGCGACGAGGCGTCGAGTCGCGGTGAGCGAATAGTTCGGTTCGAAATTACGTCGTCAGTCAATATTTGCAATGGCGCCTTGACGTAGTGTTTCAATAGGAAGGTGTGGAACTTTTCGTATAACCTACGTCATGGCAGACGTCGATTTCGCGCCCAAATTGACATTTCAATATTTTTTTTTTATTTCGCCAGTTAATCGTTAAAAATTATATAGTGAAATGAACGTAATTAATTGCTAATTGGCGACTGATAGTTGAGTAAATTTTCAAAATTTATCTACTTTAAAACGGTAAATAAAACTTCACGGAAGTTTTGACGAGAAATAGTAGTGTAGATAACAATAAACTGAAACGTGTGCAAGGAGCGTGATAAACAGTTTTTACACTCTCAATAAGACAGGTGTACAGATTATCTAGAATTAACATAATTAAGGTAATTAATGGACTTGCGTTTATTTTAAATTAATTATGATTAAATTTACAAACGTGCGGTTTCTTTTGACAAATGATTAAGTTATCAGTTTTTTTTTTCGTTTAATCGGCTATGGATAGTAAAATATTACTTTGACACTATGATCCTATAGATGGAAACAAACAATGCTTCATTTGTTAAAGCGAAATGATGCAGATGTTAAACGGAAAACAATAATGGCACTAAAAGCAGATTAAGCGAAGTTCACATTTATGTATGTAAACATTATTGGAGTATCGTTTATTCAACATAATATCATGATTTATAATCTATAATACAAAGAATTAAATAATGTTTGTTACATTGCATTAATTAAAATTTTTGCACTAAACATTTACGTTAATTTAAGTATTTTCTAGAATATATTTTTTTCGTTTAATAGGGTAAGACTATTGATATACACCGTAAAACTGTCGAAATATTAGAAGAAACTTGAAGTAAAAAAAGTTGTCGTTAGCATGAAGTTCACTCAAGTTTCGACTTTCGTTCATTCTTCATTTTTTCGTTACATCTGGAGTTTATTTATTAATTCGATTTAATTTTGTATAAATTGATATATGTATATTTTTTTTATTTAATTATTATTAGCTAGTTTAATTATAATGGAAGCAGTGAGTATCGTATCGAATAAGCGGTAATATAAAAAGAACTAACTTCAACGTATCCTCGTTTTCATTCAAAACAAACTTCCTGCGCTGGTAGCGGCTATCTTCTTTGCCCCTTTTCATTAGGAATCCCTCCATGGAACCTGATAAATAGCTCTGGCGCTCCGGATGACAGAATTCCTCCCGTTCGTATTTAGCCCGTATCCATTGCTCGATTAATACCCTGCAACGTAACAATTGTATAATTTCAAAGGTGATTTTTAGTAGTAAAATTAAATTAAAGTATCAGCCACATGTTCCTCTGCTATGTAAGGCCTCTGTACAGAGTGTATTAGGGCATAGTCCACTACGCGACCTCACTGCGGATTGGCAAACTTCACATAATGTTGAAAACATTTCATTTCTAACCTTAATTTAGGCCGGATAAAAGATTATTATGTAGCGCGCTTTAGAAGAGATCTGATTTGTATGATTGATGATTTAACTTAATGTGATTTCCAAATTGTGGTTTGTCAAGCGGTGATGATGGTAATGGTAGTTAACTTACGATAGAGGAAATTTTAACGCATTATTAAGCCCTGGTAGTGAATAACTTTTATCGTAATTTTTTGGTGTGTGAACTGTTGTGTTAGTAGGAATCATTCGTAAAGCAGTGCTTTGCCTCGGAATTACAGACTTACAGTTAAATATTATGAGTATTTTGAAATCTTTATTAAGTTTTTTTTTAATATCCGTAAAAAGATTTAACGTTAATCAAGTAGGTTCATATTAAATGCATCACAATAAAGGTATATTTTATTATGATTGCGATTTCGAATCTCTGACATAACTCTTTGCTACCATTAGTGCACAGTATTAAATATGGTAATCTAAGCTAATTAAAAAACATCTTAAAATGGCGAAGCGTATTAACTTACTGTGGGTCGTTTTTGGTCGGCCTTCTATAACAGGGTGGTACTCGTTCCTCGTATTTGTTCTTAGCGGCTGTATTGCCGACCTCCTTCATCCGTTGCACCTGGGAGTCCTCCCAGCGGTCCAGTTCCAGGTGCTTCACTTTGCTTATGTGCGCCCCCATACTGCGGTGGATGCTCGCGCAGCGCATGCAGATGAATATCCCCAGGTTGTAAGAAGCCCAGTCCGGCCCTGGAGCAAATGAAAATTCACGGGTCAGCGTGTGCCTTTCCGGCCAATGGGACGCCTTCGAGAATAATCGGCAACAATATTCTATAAAGATTGGCGAGTAATTTGAATATCGATATGTCTGTTTTGGTTGGGATTTGTATTAGCTTTAATAGCATTACCGCATGTTTTTAAGAAACGATATTATGCACATATAAGTGGAAAATGCTTTAAGTACTCGGTTAGAACAAACCGCTGAAATTGAATTATATTATCTGATAGAGCGTTTATCTAAACATGTGATCATATATATCGAAAACCGAATATCGTCCTATTTCTATTCTCCCATTCCTTTCTAAAGTCCTTGAACGCCTTGTCCAAGAACAAATTTATTCCTTTTGCACTAAAAGCAATATCCTCGATCCGCTTCAGTCTGGTTTTAGATCTGGTCATAGTAAGACTACAGCATTATTGAAAATCACTGATGACATTCGCTTCGGAATGGACAGTCCTCTAGTCACAGTATTGGTCTTGTTGGATTTCAGCAACGCCTTTAATACTGTAGATCATGACATTCTGTTAGGTGTACTGCGTTCTCGTAACATATCTCCAACTGCAATTTCCTGGTTTCATAGTTACTTGTATGGACGCCAGCAGCGTATTCGAGTTCAGGACAGGTTTTCTTCATGGCTTGATACTGTAGCTGGTGTTCCACAAGGTGGCGTGTTATCCCCACTGCTATTTGCAATTTTCATTAATACCATTACCTCCCAAATATCTTCTCTCTACCACTTGTATGCAGATGATCTCCAGATTTACACTCAAACCACTGTAGAGGATCTTCCAAAAGCTGTGGATAATATTAATAGGGATTTGGCTTGTATTCTAAACTGGAGTTGACGATATGGTTTGACTGTTAACCCTATAAAATCTCAAGCCATAATAATTGGAAGTTCAAGATTAATCACAAAATTAAATAAGAACCAAATAGATCCAGTTATTTTTAATGGCACGGTAATCCCTTATAAGGACAGTGTAAAAAATTTGGGTATACTGATGGACTCCAGTTTCTCTTGGACACCTCGAATTAATGCAGTCGCCCGTAAAATGTTTGCAGCATGTAGTTCGCTCAGACGACTGAACTACTTTTTACCCATTTCCACCAAAATTACGCTCGGTCATTCTTTGCTGCTCCCAATCCTTGATTATGCTGACATATGCTATCTCGACATCACTGAGGAGCAGCTTAATAAACTTGAGCGACTCCAAAACCTATGTATACGGTTCATATTTGGGCTTCGTAAATACGACCATGTATCAGAATATCGCATTAAGCTCAAGTGGCTCCCGATTCGTTTTCGCCGAAATAATCACATTCTTTCTGCTCTTTACTGCGTCCTATTTAACGTATCAAGTCCGCAATATTTGAAGGAACGTTTTCAATTTCTTTGCTCCTCTCATAATCTTCCTTTACGTTCAAATGAAAACCTTTTCCTTAAACATCCTATGCAATCCTCTAGTTTTTACCATAAATCCTTCTCTGCTATTGCTGTTAAACTCTGGAACTCTTTACCTCTGGCTATAAAACGTGCTAAAACCCTAGACTCTTTTAAAAAACAGGTTAAGGAGCATTATCTGTCTGTCTAGCTCCTCTCTATCTTTCAACGTCCCTCTCTACCCCTTTTAATTTCACCTTTTTACTCTATGATCACTCACTTGAAGTATGTTTTTCTTATTATTTTAATTGATACTTTCTTTTTACTATTATTATTTTTTTTCCTTCATGTACATCCTACCCATCAACAATTCCTTTTGGTAAATTTTTGAGGTTGCCTGGAAGAAATTGCTGTGTAGCAATAAGGCCGCCTTTTGATGACCAATATTTTGTTAAATATTTTGTTTTTTGTACTTTTTCATTTTGATTTTTTTGGTGTACAATAAAGTATATTATTATTATTATTATCATCTAACAATATTAGAAATACTTCATAAAACGAGTATTTCATCACATTAATAGACAAAAAATAGGATTTTCATGTTATTGATTCAATAACACCATTAAGCTTAGATAACCATCATCTCAATGGGAGATTTTACATAAGACTCGAAATTTGTAATGTAGAAAAACATGTTTTTTTCTTACTTACAATTTATTTATTAAATTAATGAAAAATGTAACGATTTGAGAAAAAATAAAAACAATATCTTTTGTTTTGGTATTACAGTAAACGTCAAAACAGACTGCACTGATTATGCCACATGCGGTTTGCGTCACGTTTTTACGTTGTATGCTCGAAACGAGTACGATGTTCTGCCTCTTCGTTAGAATAGATGAATAGACGTTAGACCAGGCCAGAAAAATCGCGTGTAACTAGCTTCGCATCAACGGGACGGTGAATTATATCTCAACGAATGCGTAAAGACGCTATGAATTACAACACAGAATCGAAGTTTTATGGTCCCATTCAAGTAATCTTAGCACAACAATAAATTAATGATATAGAGTTGTAACACATTTAAAATTATGATAACGATATTATGTTTCTCTTGTTATCGTAAGACAAATACGACAGGAAAAAAGACAATCGCGTAGAATTTCCTATCGAACTAGGATAATTATAGGTATGTTTTTGTTTCTTAAAGCAATTCGTACCCCAATGTCTAACATGAATCAATCCATTCACACTTAATCGTACGAGTATGTCTAAAGTTTTGTCTCAACGTGTCGAATGAGGAATACCTCAATCCACTTACACAATTAGGATACATACAATTAGGATTCAAGAGATTTATAAGATTTATAGTTTAAGCAAATCCATACATTTCACACGTCGTTAATTTCACATATAAATATAGATAGATATGTCTCCAAAATTGGACATTTGATCTGATCGCAAATTGAGAAGAGTGGTCGGATATGTATATAAGTATAATGGTTATTAGAAGACACCGTCAATGTCGAAGTAATCATAAACGTAATTGCATATAGAAACCCTATTTATTTCTAGTCCATGATCGACGTTCGTCAAATAGAGCGACGAACCATTCCAAAGTCGCACATTCATTAAGGATAGCGTGCAGATTGTTTATGGAGCTAATATAGGCTTCAAGTATCCTTATCGGTGCGTGATAAGTGAGCCGCATTTTGTCAACATACGAGGAAATCTCGATGACGTAATCAACCATACTACGGCTTAATGTGGCATCGAGAAACAGACACGCAGTAGAATATTGTGGTACAAAGTTAATATGAATTTTATAGCTTATTCGAAACCACAAATGATGAACTGTAGACACGTAGCAGCTTCAGCTGAAGCGCCAATGTCCAATTAGCACAATCACTCTGTGGAACCAGCTGCCGCCGGCGGTCTTTCCAAACCGTTATGACCTGGGAACCTTCGAGATCTTTTCATCATATCCTTTTCTAAAAGGCCGGAAACGCATTTACAAGCCTGAAGTGTTGCAGATGTTCATGGGCGGCGGTGATCGTTTACCATCAGGCGAGCGTCATGCTTTTTTTCCATAATTTTAATATTCAAAAAAGTGCCCCGCCTTGCATAGGTAGAAGTGTAATACTTTTGCGTTTGATCTGGTATTTGCACTCAGTAGACCCTACCCTTTTAATAGTTGGCAATACATGAGCAAGCCCACTCCTATTGTAGATGACAATGGCCGCAACGTTACCCCGTTAGGAAATAGTAAATAAATCGAACAATTGGTCAAACTGTTATTAGTGAGACATTAAGAGAGAGAGACCACAGCTCGATGGACCGATTCGTTGAGACGCCCACTCGGAGCGTATTGTAAAAATGTACAACGCGATGGTCCACTCGAAATAGAATCAGTGCTTAGCCCCCACGAAGTTCCTTTAGGGCTACCTAAATCTGTTAAGAATAAACGATCGTAAAACGCTAACAACAACAATTGATGCGAATCACATACAACGGTCTCGTGAAGAGTTCGCACTTCAGTTCACCTTGTGACGCAAGTTGTACATATCTTATCAGAATGGCCGACATTTTTTCACACGAAACGTTAAAGTTATTATGCGTGAGACAGGCCGAATTTGCCCACGAATGTATGCCGCGGCGAGTCGAGCATCAGAAAAAAAACCAGACAGACAGAATGTCCTTATACCTGAAGAAAATATAGGCACTTACATCACTTGCGTTTCATGTTTACAAGCACGCTATATGTGTGGGAGATCACACCGACACGACGTCATGCGCGCACACATGTAGAGCTGGCCTCTCGGCGATCGTAAATAACACACGATATGTTTTGGTCATAACAGTTGCGGGTGAGTCTTTTAGCGTGTTCCGAAACGAGTTTCGGTGGGAAGGTCTCAATCGAAACGACGTTAGTCGCCGTTTTGATTGAGACTAAATGCACGATTTCAGTTAGTACCGCATCCCCTTTTTGGTTCGAGTTTAAAACACCTGCACGTGAGAGGTTGAGCTGCCCGAATGTAATTATTAAAATCAGGTCTGATTTACGTTGAAAGTTCATGGCGTCATATTAAAAAGTACAATTTCTGAATAAGATCACGATGGAAGCAGTCCAATAAAGTTCAATTTTATTGGAAACCGGATCGCCTAGTTGCGTAGAACTAAAAATATAATCAAACGTAATTCAACACACCTCGCATTTATCAATTTTCATCGACAGCCACGGCGAACGAGTGATCTATATTCTATTGGTTCAGGGATCTTATCAGCGTTAAAAACAGTATTGGACTGCTTGCAAAATATGGAACTTATCAAGAGCCACAACCGTGTCGTTTTATGATACATGCAATATGATGATAGTTTGATATGATTAAGATAGTTTTCTTCTAGAATACACACGAACGATCCACCTTCTATATGTTTCGTGATTTCAAAACAAAAATAATAAACTATTCTGACGTGTTGACAGCTTGTTTTGCTTCAATTTGAGATTATCAAGATTAATTATTGTACATGATACGCATAAAAATGTGACTGTCAGACGGTATGAGAAGTGCAAGCGTCATTGTTAAGGTTTCCCCGTCATAAATAAATGAATAATAGAATTACTAATCGTCTATTTATATAATATTCTAAATTAAATTACTTGCGTAGATTTTAAAGGACGCCATAATTTGCTGTTACTTTCATGAAGTTTCCTTTAATACTGAACAAAATGTTTAAGATATGGGAACAATGACATCAAGTCGAGCAGACGAGGCTTTTACGACGCTCCTTACGTTTCCACGACATTGACAGCGTACCGATGACCAACCGAAGACGCGGCACCGCCAAGCAAAAGCGTGTAATAGACTTTCAAATAATAAGCGTCGTAGCTTCTTCCCTTTATCGAGCCTGTGAACGGATTTAAAGATTTTTTCCGTGTTATATTGAGGACAGGTTCAACTACTGTTAAAATAGGCGCATCCGTTTAACTGATAATAAAAGAATGAACAGTATGACGTTATTATACACCACGCACGTCAGATTTGAGCGTAGGTTCAATTGCGTCACTTGGAAAATGTGTTTGGTTATTTTTTTTGTTGAATTTTAAACAAATCAATCAAAGGCTACGAATGACGTAAGTTAAATCACACATCAATTTGTCCCATGTTTGTGCTTTGGTAAAAATTCTAATATGGTTTATATTTATTTATCTAGGCTTTTTTCAAAGACGCATCTAGAACGAAATAGTAATGCTTCATTGATAAAATAAACAATTTTTATTTGATTTACGCGCATTTAATTTAGGCTTTATTCTCGACGTTTCGTACAATTAACGGGTCTGTCATGGGACACAGTGCGGTTACATTGTAGGAATAGTTCCCGGGCATGATTACCATTTTATACAATTCGTCTTGGTTTGATCTTAGTAAAGAGTTTATAGTGTCCAAAAGCCTTGTAGTATTAGTATGCTTCGATTTAATTTTATAAATAATAACATATAATAGCTGTTTGATATACAATCATTATCTCTATTGAACTTAGGGTATTTGCTTATTCAGATTTTTATTTTTTTATTTGTGAAAACCTCGGGAAAGAACGTTTCAAGAGGACTGTCGTCGTTGTCAAATGGGAAGTATACTACCTCATGCGTGTTTTTATCCCAGTCTACGCGAGATTAGTAATCAGTTATTTTATTGGTTTCGTTTTGAAAATAAATAAAGTGAGAACAGAAAAATGTTTATTGTAAAAATATTATATGTAACAAACAATTATCTATCTAAAATGATTGTTAATTTGGTGCCGCTGCACCAGAGTTAAAATCAGGAAAAAGGCCGTAAAATTAGTGAATAACAACTAAGCTCGGGTACAAACAGGATGCGTAAAAATACAAACAACATGCTAATTAACTACAAGTCAAAGTTCCAACCAAATATAAGAATAAAAACGAATACATTGCTTGCTAAAAGTCTGGCAACACATTCCCATTCCGATGTTGAGTTTATATTTTTAAACATCGCACGTTGCCAGTCTCATTGTCTTTAGACTAGTGGCTATAAAAAAGAAAGTCGATATGTTTCTTTTAATTACATGCGATTGCCTGGCGCGTTATGAAAAGTAATAGAAAAAAAAATCTTTTGTTATGACATGAGCACGTCCAAGACTAGATCGATTTATTGCCTTAAGAAAAAAGGATTTTTGATAATATGCACTATAGCAGTGTAATAGGTTGAAAACTATAGCGCGTAATTTTTTGAAACGTGTATTTCGAATATTATAAATTAGAGGCAGTGGATTTTTTATGTTCACCTGATTTTAAGATATAACCGCCGCCCATGGACATTTCAACCCCGCAGGGTTGCAGATGCGTTGCCACATATTTAAAAAGTCGGCAGCTCCGCACTCCTCCCACCAGAATAAACAGAAATATGACACTTCTACTTCACGCTGGTCTTCTGTGAGGTCATACTTCTTCCTTATTTATACTACTTCTCTGGACGTATCCGCCCATTCGTGCAACAGCGAAGACCATCGCGTGATGGGGCCACCACAGTTAAAATTAAAATGCCTGATGGTGGAAACGGCCCGCTGATATTTCTATAAAATTTTCACAAACTTTATATTGCTTTGCTTTTAATCTCTCAGGTTTTCTAACAATGTCGTCCTTCGCTTAGCGCGTGGCAAATCACTTGACATCGCAACGTATATACTGAATAAAAGCGAGCGTTTCCAAAAAAAAAAACATTTGGTCACTATTAGCTAGATCGTTTGCAAAATAATATGTACCTAGACAAAGAATGAGTATATAACGGGACCGTATTTTTTTGTGCTTCAGATATCAGCCGTTACGCTATCCGGCGTGACCTTCATCCGCCTTATGACTAACATTATTCAATGAGATAAGATGTCTTTTTGTTTAGTGAAATTCATAGAGTACTACAAAATGATTAAGATCGATCATGTCTTTTCAATGAGTATATTTGACGGCACGTATAGCGAAGTGTCTGAACGTATAGGCTGCTGCGTATCTTGTCCCGGGTTCAATCCACGCACGGAACAAATGTCTGTATGACTTACAGACAATGGCGGTTGTTAGTGTATGCGAAGTTTATGTCTGTAAGCGCGTTATACGACATGTGAGAGTCAAAGTTTTTAAAACTAAAAGAAAATCTTAATAATAATAATAAATATTTTCGGACACATTTTTACACAACGTTTTCGGGTCCCAAACTACGCACGCTTGTATTCTGGGTACTAGAAAACTGATAAACGTACTTTTTTTTGTAAATAAATACATATTATACACCCAGACCCTGGAAAAACACGATTTTCATCACACAATATTTTTTCATTAGTGGGGGTCGAACCTACACCCTCTGGCGCAAAAGGCATGTTCACTAGTCCCCACGCCATTTCGGTCGATTTTTAATATTACAACACTTACATCGAAGCCACAGAAAATATACTGAAAACCAACAAATAATATGTAGTAAGTTAAGTATATCCTTTGTTTTTGTTCTAAGCTTTTCCAAGTTGTACCAAGGGGCAAGTGTTTACTTATATGAATCAATCTCAAGTAGGCAATTAAAAATTCTGTTTTACGAGACAGCAATCAATGGTCCAAAAATATTGGACATATTTTTAGCATGATTTGTACCATAAGTATAGTATACCAAAGTGCTCATTAGTTTGTGAAAAAGGTATAATATAAAGGTTTAATTTAATAACTTGGAATTAAAGTTAAATGTCAAAAGGTTGTTGTAAAGCGATCGCTTTGTAACCAACTTCATAATGTGGCTTTTTGGCTGTAATTTTTTCTCAAACGCGCCAAAAGAAGTGTAAGTTCAAAAATAACGTTATTTATTATTAAACAAATGGGTTAGTGTCATTCGTGACGATGTAGTGTCCATCGACAATACATCAAAATACGATGTACACAAAACAAAAGAGTGACTAATGACCTTGGTAGTTTGACACCTCCATGTTCCGGTTTCAACCGCAGGTTGTCGTGTACACGAAATATTGCAGTTCCGTAAGCCTCACAAGTTTGGCACGACTCTACTCCATGACTCTATTCAATGAGTAGAGTCGGTGAAATAATCGTGTCGGGTGTGAGTATATAAAGATATTTTTGTAAAAGCGTACCAACAGTTCGTAATTACCATTGCCCATTGTTTGCACTTTTTAGGGTTACGTACCAAGGTTCATAAATTCACGGAACCACTGAAGTTTATGACTTTATGTACCGCAGCCAAGTTATTATTACATAATAAGACTGATGACATAGTTCTGAGGTCAACGTACTTTGGAAGTGTCAAAACTGTTCATCTTAAGGGTTCCGTACGTAAAGGGTAAAACGGTACCATGTTGTTAAGACTCCGCTGTCTGTCTGTCCGTCTGCCACCAGGCTGTATCTAGGAACCTCGATAGTTAGTTGAAATTTTCACAGATGATGTATTTCTGGTGCCGCTATAAAAACAAATACTAAAAAAACAGTATAAAAAATATATAGGTTCAGTAGATAAAGGGTATGGAACGCTCTGTGCGCGGGTCCGACTCGCATTTTTTAAATTAGTGTGTAACTCGTA